CAAGGACCAAAGAGTATCCTATCGGCGACGCCATTGTTATGTCGTGTATCCACTAAGTTCTTATTCCACTTCCGTTCTCGTTGGTGTCCATTTATGAGCTACCTGCTCATATGCAAATTATACTAATTTGCATATCACTACAGAGAGTTTTATTGATCATAAAATTGTAAAATGGCTTGGACTAATCTTGACATCTGTTGCTGCTATTGTTAGAAAAGAAGAAAGACCAGAAAAACCGATAATCTTAACTGAGGCTTTATTTGCCTTAACAAAATATAAGGAAAAACAGATATATATATATATATATATATATATATATATTCAAAGAGTGGGAACATTTCTGGCTACAATCAGAATAGTTGATGCTGCACTCCAGAAAAGCAACACTATGTCTTCTTGCCCTCATGTTTTTAGGACATGAAGTGGACTGACTATATCAAATCAATTGCTACGTCTGCTTTGAAGAAGGTTGGTTCACTGTATATTGCATACTGTTACTATATATGTTGCTCCTACTGTGCATCTCAAGATTCTTGACAAAATCCAGGGAAGAGTCTGTAATACAACAGATCCTGACCAAGCATCGCATGATGTAGCTTCCTTCTGTCTGTTCTACAAATATTTTCACGGTAACTGCTCGGATGAACTTTTTTTCTTGGTGCCCAGACTACATAAATTTAAGTGTGCTACTAGATTGGCAACTAGGTCTCACCATTTTTTAAAGTGATGTCCATCCTGTAAAAGGCAAGAGAGTCACTTAAGGTAGAGAGTTACAGAGTAAGGGGTACAGTTTATGCTGATAGGTGGGGAAGATTGAAGTTAACTCTAGACTTGAACAGATTAGGATTGTAGTGATCAGGAAAACATCCTCATGGGAGTTGGTTCCACAGAGCAGTGGTTCATGGGAAAAAGCTATTTCAGTGGAACTTACTTCTCACCAATGGAATACAGAAGGAATGAGGGTTGTTCACTACAATGTGCATAGTGTGGTGGGTTCTAGCCTTGAAGGTTAGAATTGGTGGAGTTAAAGAATGTAGGTCCCTTTTCATGGAAGTAGCAATAGAGCAGTGAGAGGCTTGCCACTTCCCATCTGTAAGAGAGAGGTTGCAGGGTGGAAAATAATTCATCACACCCAAGGACACAGGGACACTTTTGGATTCTGTAGAGACTGGAAAGTGAGGACTGGGCAGCTCCCACCCAAATATGACAGCAGTACTCTATTTTAGGTTTGATCATGGCTCTTGTAAAAATCAAAGATAGCACAAGGAGTTGGGTATTTACTGGAGTGGTACAGGGAACTGACCATTTGTTCTGCATCTTTAGTGATGGATTGTATGTAGAAGTTCCACTTGAGGTCTGGGTTGAGTTTAAGGCCCAATAGTTGCACAAGACATGGGGCCTCCCTGAGGGAACATTCATTCATTGTGACTAGTGGTTGTTCAGGGTCAGGGTTTTTGAGGCATTGAATGCTACCAGTCAGCTTTTTCCCCACTGAGATGTTAGAGTTTGATCAAAGGAGAGATCAGTTGCTAATCTCTGGTCATCCTGAGTTTTAAAGGTGCACCCATATATCACAGTATCATCAGCATAGATATTCACAAATAATCAGAGTAAACTCTTAGGCAGATAATTTACTGTCCCGGGTATGACGGTAAACTGCATCCAACAGCAAGGCCTCTAATCAGGAGGTTTTGAGGAGTGTGGAACTGCTGGTATTCCCACGTCTACCCTGACCTGGGGTGGTAGCACCTGTTACGGTTTCAATTATGGGCAAATAGTTAACTCCTAAACTGGGGTCAAAACTCTATGAAAGTGTAAAAATAGGTTTTAATACCAGTAATAAACTTTTTAAGGAAAAATTATTCCCAGCAATACATTTTTGAAGAAAAAAAATATTACCAGCAATACATTTTTGGAAAAAATATTACCAGCAATAAAAATCTTGTTGGCATTAAATAACCCACTGAGGTTGATATGTCTTAAAACAAACCAAACCAGCAGATCATTTATGTAAAGTAAAAAGAGGTTTGGTGTGAGAAGTGACTCCAAGTGACTTAATCCAGTAGTTAAAGCTGAAATCACTGAATATTTTCCTGGAAAAAGTTGTAAAAAGTAAGATGGTATTTATTTCAGTTACAAAAGGAAGTGTTTGTAATGTTTCCCTTCTTCTCCTTAAAATCAATAGATTGATTTGTTTTTTTATGGCTTATCAACTTTTTGCAGATTATTTAAAGCCAGATAATATTTTTAGATTGTAATTAACCTATAGCTTTCCCAAGGGTATTTGTAATTAAGCCAATATAATGATTCGAAATTAAATTGGAATTTGGCCCTTCCAATTTCCAATTCTGAATCACACCTCCAAGTTTACAACACCTGGTATTCCCAAGCAGTCACCCATCTAGATAATGATCAGGTTCAATGTTGCTTAACATTGGTGATTGTTTGATAACTGTTGTGTTAATGTGATATGGTTGTAAGCCTTAAATCAATATAAAGCCATATGTTGAGTACTTTATATCCTTTTATAGTTAACAGTTAAGGGTTGGTATGATATAAGGAAAATATTTTTTCTGTTTGTTAATAATTGCATTAAATCCAATCCTGCAAATCAATATTTCTTTTCTTAAGAGAAAACAAGAACAAAAGTGTTGCTTCTATTGTAATTTTGAATTTCTAGACTTGGCAATCAGCTTGACCTTGCTAATCCTTGGTTAATCAAAAACCGAATATATTTCTCATGTCATAGTTTTATGCTGAAGAAGTATAACAGTGACTTTTAAATTGTACAATTGTATACAGAAGCATTGAAAAGCTATTGTTAATATATGATTGATTGATTTGTTTTTTACTGTTTATCAACCTTTTGCAGGTTATTTAAAGCCAGAAAATATTTTTGAATTGTAAGAGTTTTTGAAAATAATAATGATTTACTGATACAATTCTTACTATTTAACTCATATCAAGGGAAGAAGAGGTAGATTCATAACTTTCCCAAGGTTTTTTTTTGCACATAATTGAATATAACAAATCCAACTGGAGTTGGAACTCGGCTCTCCCATTTCCAATTGGCAGCCATTATCCATTACACCATTTACACATCCAAGCTTACATCACCAGGTATTTCCAATTGGGCACGCATCCAGATACTGATCAGGCACAACATTGCTTAACTTTCAATGTGATATGGCCATAAGTCTGTTAATATCATATTTGTATATGTGTTCACTTCAGCTAACTGAAAATATGGAGATATTATCATATGGGAACTTGGAAGACATATACTGAAAATCAGAAAGAGACATTTCAAATTTCTGGAACAGATTAGGAAGAAAGAGGGCTTGGAAAAATTAACACTCATAAAAGACATTGAAAGAATGAGTCAGGGAGGTAGAAAGAAACGACAAGCAACTTGTAAGTTTTTATGAATGGATGATAGAGTAGAGACAAGTGGGGATGATAAAGAGGCATGTGTTGCTTAGATCTAAAAGGGATAAGAAGTTGTGGAGAGCCATGTTAGCCCATATCCTGAAGGAACATGGCACATAAATGATGATAATCATTTTTGAAAAATTGTCTGAAGTTTGAAGATGAATTATGTTTTGCATTATTTTCTTGGTTTTATACATAGCTGCTGCACTTTTCTACCTATGATCAGAGTGTAGCATCTGCTCAGACCCTAAACTTTCTGAGCTGAAATCAGTTACATTTTCTGATCCCACAAAACATTAATACTAATATTAAACAGGAAAGAAGAAAAGATAACAGGTAAGAAGCAAGAGAAAAATGAAAGAAAAACAGGTAACACACACATGCACACACATACATATAAATATATAATATCACACATTCAGTACTGGTGTTAATAAAATAGTGCTCAATGCAATATAACAGAGCTATAAACTATATATTAACAAATATACACTTTTTTCCTCACTGGTAGCACAACTCAGAGTTTCATGCACAATGCAATCTTTGAGTACTGAATTGAGACTGACTGTTAATTGAAACTTTGTTAAATATCTCTATTTGTAGATAAATATATATATATATATATTTTATGAATATTTAGATGTGAATATTTATATTTATATTTTATTCTACCTTTATAACTTGAGATAAATAATAAGACTTTAAAATGTTTCTCTTCATGCTTCAATTTAGTTAAATGGCTAATATATAATAAATATCATCAATCTTATTGCCAATATTGTTATCATTTTGTTGTCTTTTTATTCCTCTAGTTTGATTAACCAGCCTATTAAATCTACACACACACACACACACACACACACACACACACACATATATATATATATATATTTGGTTGGATAGATGATCCAACCAAATATGTTAGCTCTATCTCTGATATTGAGCGCTTTCTAATAAGTACCGCGCATATAATATATAAATAATTATACATATATATATTTATTTATATTTATATACACTTTTCACGCACGCACGCACACACACACACACACACACACACACACACATATATATATATATATATATATATATATATATACATATATATATATTTAATAGGCCAGGTAATGAAATTTAATAAATAAAAAGACAACAAAATGATAACAATAGTGGCAATAAGATTGATGAGATTTATTATATATTAGCTTTTTGAATAAATTGAAGTATGAAGAGAAAGATTTCCACAGGAGACCTTCTAATCAACAACAAAAACATTCCCCAGAAGAGTGAGCCCAAATTCTTTGTTTATTTCTTGTCTTATTGAAAAAAAGACACTGGCATGTCTGAAAATTAAAAACTTTAAAATCTTTCTCTTCAATTTAGTCAAAAGGCTAATAATAATATATAATAAATATCATCAATCTTATTGCCAATATTGTTATCATTTTGTTGTCTTTTTATTCCTCTAGTTTGATTAACCAGCCTATTAAATCTACACACACACATATATATATATATATCATTATATAATTTTATAGTTTCATGCATATTTTTTTATTCTCTTGCAGAAGAAGAATTGACCATTGAATTTCAGCAACTGATAGCTCTGCGCATTCTCATTTACTCAGACAACTTGGAGCTGCAGCAGTCAGCTGCACTCTGTTATTTGGAGATCAGTGAACGAAGTGAGTACAATTCTTTTCATCCTCATCAATATCAACATCAAATAAAATCAATATTTTTGTCAAATGATAACTTTAAACTTCTTAGATGTGTGTAAAATTTCACAACACTCTTTTTTAAAAGCTGGAGACTGAAGACTCAGTTGATAACTGTTTTGTTTTTTTTTTTGCTGGAAATTTTTGCACCCACCAAATAATTTGAATTATTGTTCTAATTTTATTAAATCTACTGCTAAAAGGTGGGATGTGCGAGCCTCTCACTGCTCTATCGTTACTTCCATGGAAAGTGCTTAGACAAACTTCATTCTTTGGTTTCCTCAGGTCTAACCTTTGTGGCTAGAAACCGCCATACCACTTATATTATAGTAAGCCACCCACACTCCCTTCATATTCCATCAGTTTATTCCACTTGAATAGATCTTCCCACAAACCACCACTCTGTGGAATAGATTCACAAGAGGATGTTTCTTCAGCCACTACAATCTTAACATATTCAAGTCTAGGGTTAACTGTTATCTTCCTCTTCTATCTGCATAAACTGCCTCTTAACATAACCCTCTAACTCAAGTGACCCCAGCCCCGACCCCCACCCACCGCGCCTCTGCTTTGTTCAGGGTGAACCTTACTGTAAAACAAAAAATAAAATAAAGAGAATACAGATTTGACTTAAAGGAGTGTGCCAATCACAATGGTGAAAAAATGAAGATTCATGTCCTTTAGATATTACCTGACCCAACATAACAAAAATAAATGAGATGTTATTGGGGTAAATCAGAATAAATAACAAAATATTTATAATTATGAATGCAATGATATATTTTTTAACCAAATATATTTGTAGAAAAAAGTTTGAAGCAATAAATTACAAGTTCCCAAAAGTTAATTTCAAATTTTAATTCCTATAAATGTCTTATGGTCAAAGGCAATCATAGTTGTCAATCCCTCAAATTTCCTTAGGTACCATGTGTACTCTTTGATGATAATGTCTCTTTTCAATTCATGATCTGGCAGAATAATTCCCATTGTAGATTGCCCCATTGCTTTCTGCAATAGACTGGTTGCCAACTAAGGCTATAGAACCCAGTATGCTATTAAATCTAGCTGAGAAGAGATAGAGTTATACCTTTTGCAATGGTGTTGTGAATAAGTGAGTGTAACAAACCCAATTGGTATTTGAATTTGACTCACTAATATCCAATTCCGAGCCATACAATCACACCACCCACTTATCCAACCATACAGCACTTGGTAATCCTAAGTGTTCACACATCAAGATATTGAATTCCTATAATTGTCAAATATGGAAGACATGTAGCACCTGGAATTCCCAATTGTTCACACATCAAGATATTGAATTCCTATAAATGTCATATGCTGGAAAGCAATCAGGACCTGGTATTCCCAAGTGGTTTACCTATCTAGATATTGAATCCCTTTCAATGTCATAAGCCGGAAAACTTATTAGGACTTAATGCAATATAACAGAGCTATAAACTATATATTAACAAATATACACTTTTTTCCTCACTGGTAGCACAACTCAGAGTTTCATGCACAATGCAATCTTCAGGTGCCAAAGACTTAAGTTGTTAAATCTGAAAGAAAAAGAAAAAAATCATTAGATGCTTAAACTTAATTCACATTTAAAATCAGTTATTGGAACACCCTAGAAAGTGAATTTATACATTTTTCATTATTCTTGAGAATTTACAACAAAAACATTAAACACTATTTATTTATTCGATTCTTTACAAGAATAATTTTACACTATTTACATTGGTTGGACTGTTGTCCTCATCTTTATGGCCATATTCACAATGTTTTGGCCATCACTGACCTTCTTTAGATGATATATGGAATTCTGAACCAAACACTTTATTTAGTCACAGTGGTAGATTGTTCTAATTCCATGTGTCATGCCGTTTTTGGATATCACACTATCAATTAATTCCCTTTAGTAACTCAACCCTCTAAGTTTTTTGAGATTCCAAAATATATCACGTGAAGAATGTTGGAGTGTACAATGGCCAAAATGTTGTGAATATGGCAATACAGATGAGAACTTTTTACATCCGAATGATGTAAATAATGTAAATAGTCACAATACCTCATCTCTTGGATTTCTATTGATTAGGTATCTCTAATCCTAGATCACAATAAAAACAAAATGGAAAATTAAAAAAAAAACTCTTCTGTGATATTCATTTGAGAAGAAAATTTATAAAGCCAGGAAAAATCATGTGCTTATTTAAATTTTCTTGTTTGATAGTTGAGAAATATTTTTAGAAAATTATGAATATAAAAAAATAGTTTTCATAGTTTTTATTGATAAAATGGTAAATAATAAAAATTGGTTCATATATTTTTATAAACTTGTAGATTTTTATAAATTTTAGAATAAAAACATTTTTTTTCATAATTCAAAAATACGGTCTTAAGTAAGCGCCAGAAGGGGTCATCAGTGATGTAATTTGACTTGGTTCATCAGGGAGTTTTGGGTATTTCAACATCATACACCCCATCACCAAGTCGACTCAATCAGGGGAGATCAATCCCTGATTCCCCCTTGCAATCAAATGTTAACAGCTACTCTGACCTTTTTAAAGAATTAAACAAAGAAAGACCACATTTTCTGCACACCCGATTGAATGTTTGTAACAACCAATCCGCTGCGTGGACTATCTTTTAAATGGTCCACGGTGGGGACCGGTTTCTTTTCTTTCTTTTTCGATGGATAGCAGTTTCAATCGATAAGTGAGGAGGTAATTTACCGTTCCTAAATTTAACCCTTTTTGTTCCCTAAGTATGGTTTGATGTCTTACTCTAAATATTTGCTGTTTTGATTTTATTTGTACTTGGGGGGGGCATAAACTCAATCCTAGTATCACATTTTTATCGTTTAGTCTGATTCTTAACATTATTATTTCAAATTTATTTATTTCTAAAATGATAAATAATGAAGCTTTGTAAAATGGGAAATAATAAATATCACTTTGTACTTGATTCACATATTTTTATAATCTTGTAAATAAACATTGCCAAGGAAGTTTAGGTAGTACTAGCAGCATGGCCCGGTGTTGCCCGTGCTTGATTAAAAAATCATACGACTCATACAGCAATCGCTATCACTTGACTTAAAATATTTTTGCCCTTCCTTGCCTTTAAAGGAGTGCCCTTTGCCGTGCTGATGTTGCTACATGCCTTACTTCTTGCCTATCTCACACTGCGAATTTTTTCTAAGCTCTAAACTAAACATTAAATCTGTTACGAAAAAAGAACTAAACAAAATGAACACAAAACGATCAGCTTTAAAAAAGGACTCATAACTGGAAAAACTGAATGAAAAAAGACTGTTAACAACAAATACTTTTTCACACCCAACCCAGTTCTGCGGAATCAGAATCAACGTTGAGTTTAAGCAAGCGAATGAGCCAATTGGAGTAAAGTGCCATGCAGATTTAAATTTTTCCCACTTGTGACGAATGCAGCTATTGATTTTTTTGCATGCTAGCATGCTAGTTAACATTCATGTCAGTCAGCTGTTGGCTCTCACGCTGGCCAATAGAATCTTCCTGCCTATTCGTGGCAGCCAGCTATAGGCTCTCACTCTGGCCAGTAGAAAATGGCCTCAAACTAAATGAAAACTGCCGTAGAAGCATGAAAAAATCGATTATTTCCACTATCTATGGGAGTTGGGAAATGCAAAGTCAGTCTTGGCCTTCTCACTAACTTGGAGCATGTGCATGTAAATTTTGGTGCAAATCCATCGAAAATTGTGGCCGTGTATTCGTTACACACACACACACATCCTGCCTTTTATAGATAGAGATACAGTAATAGCAGTGTCAACAGAAAAACTGTCCTTTTGAAACAATTTTTTTTTGCAGGCATGAAGGTTAAACTTTGCCAAATTATATTTCAGAATAATAGGATATTTTATATGTAGGCTGGATGTAATGTCACAGTACTTTTTAAAAAATCTTTTATACTAGAATTCACCTAATACAAGGCCTGAGACCTGCTCAAGATAGAGGGTTACTGTTAAAATGGTTATGATGAATGAGGCATGTGATATGAATAAAATAAGAAATGGTAGGAAGTGAAAATTATGAGGATAAGGAGGGCAGATAGTAACTGACTTTTGGTTTGAAAATTTTAGTGTTCAGGAAAGCACCCACGTAGGAGTCTGTTCTACAAAGTAGCAGTTCTTGTGAAAAAGCTGTCTGGGTGGAACTTTCTTATATTTCAAACACATGAATTTAAATGCGGTAAGAGATTGGCAGTTAGGTATCATCATTTTACAGTTGCAATGGCTAGATGTAATTGCAAGCTAAGAGCTTCTTCTCTCATACTTTTCACCTGTGGAACTCTCTTCAGCTTTTTGCTTTCCAGTTGACTTTGATCTTCAAAAATTTAAATGCAATGTTAATCCTTATCTTCTGTCTTCTTAATTCCTGTTCTTTTATTGTTCTCTCTCCTTGATATTGTTTTCTTTTTCTCATATTCCCTCCCACTCAATAACCCCTTGCATCTGAGTTGCTTTATTGCCATGCTTGGGATGAAATAATTAAAAAAAAAAAAAAACAGGCCTGGATCAGCTAGACATGTGAAACCTTACAGTATCAATGTACAATCCAATAAACGAGTCAAAACAAGAAATTTTGTGCTTTACAATTTCAGTGCTGGATTGCCCTACAACAGTCATATTGTGCCCTCTCATTGATTTGTTGCGGAGAAAAGATGATCGGGTATGTCGAGCAGCCACACAAGCACTCAGTAACTTTCTTCTTCGAATGCCTTGTAAGTTTTGCATCAAGCATTTTCTACAGATTCTCAGAAGAGATTTTGAAAATGTATTTGATTTTTTTCTTAATTCTCCTACATTCATGTCATCTTCAAATATTGAATGATTGACAAATATGGTTTTCAAAAATAATTCTACACACATACTTACAGACTGATATATTTATGCCACTTGCTCTCCTAGGTATGATGATAAACTACATCCGGCAGTAAGACCTCTGATCAGGAAGTTATGAGAAGCATGGAACTACCTCTTAATTGCTGTTGTTCCCAGGTCCACCCTGACCTGGGGTGATACCTGTTAGGGTCCCAGCTATGGGCAAATAGTTAACCCTCAAACTGGGGTCAAAACATTATGAAAGTATAAAACTTTTATAGTAAAAATACCAGCAATACATTTCCATAGTAAAAAAAATTACCAGCAATACATTTTTGTTAAAGAAATTACTAATGCATCCAAGAAAATTATATTTTGTCATTAAATGACCCATAAGGCGTTGATATGCCGCTAAACAAATAAAACAAACTTGGCTAGATTAAAAATGAATGTCACAGATATTACTTCATCCCCATATATATATATATATATATATATATATATATATATATATATATACATATATGTGTGTGGGTGTGTGCATGCATACACACATACAAATAATATTGAATATTATATGGTAAAAATCAAAATTATGCATATAATTGCCAGGTTACTAACTTACAGATCTCCCAACATATACACACATACACACACACACACACACACACACAACCTGAACCAATCCTGAAGTGTTTCCTCTTGCCTACTGGGGCTAAAGCTTACTCCCAATTTGTCAAATGGAATGGGTATATACATGCCATCACAAATGATGCTGGAAGAATGATTAGTTCCTAGTATCTCTTTTGAAAATACCTAACTCCTGCTGCCATGCTCTGTCTTTATAGATCAGCTCAAGAATCATGTATTGCTGCTATATCTGGCCTGGTGTTGCCCAATCCTTACTGTCCAACTTCGACAGAGTTCAAAAGCAATTTCAACCAATGGTAACATTGACTGCTTGATCAGTGAATGCAAAATGTTTCCATATAAAGAAAACAACAAATACTACCATTAGAGATGAGGAGAACAGACTTTGAGCCCAGCCTGATGACCAGTGAGTGAAGAAAATTGTAATTTGAGTAAAACTGACTGCTCGGTCAGTGAATGCCAAAGGTTTTGATATATGAGAATAGATAATATTACCAATACCACAAGAGACAAATAAAATAGATACAACACTATCTGGTAGCAGAATATAGCAAAAGGCTGGTTTAAAGTTGAGAGCCCAACTGCATGCATATGGGCTAAGGCCAAAAACTGCCCAGTCCCTGCAACCAATGTCACACTGATGTTGATATTCCACCGACCCTCACTTTTTGGTGCAATGAGGGAGGTGCTGCCAGAATCCCCAGGACCAATCATCCCTCAGTTATGTACTGTCTGCAGAATTTATAATTTGTCCACCCAAATGCAGACACTATACTCTGATCCTAGTCCAATGACTAGGGAATGAAGAAAAGCATAACTCAAGTAGCACAGGCTGTTTGGCCAGTGTTTCTATATATTAAAATTACTATTAGCAACTGATGTCAGATTTATCTTATTGATTTTGATTGATTTGTTTTCTATGGCTTATCAACCCTTTGCAAGTTATTTAAAGCCAAAAAATGTTTTTTTTTGAGATTGTAAGAAGTTTTTAGATAATAATGATTTATTGATACACAAGTCTTACAAATTAACCTATATCTGGAGGGGAAGAGGTGGATTCATACCTTTCCCAATGGTATTTGCATGCAAGTGGATATAACAAATTCAACTGGCTCTTTGATTATCAATTCCAAGCTATTATCTATTACACCACCCACACATCCAAACTTAGAGCACCTGATATTCTCAGATGTATATTAGTAACTTCCAGCAATCATAAGGCAAAGTTAGGGATTACTTATTCACAGAAAAGTAAATTTGTCAGAAAATGGCATTGGCACGTATTACTGAAATTGTTAGTTTGTGTATAAGCTTTATTATATACTAGCAGTAGAGCCTGGCGATGTAACAGTAAGATCAAGTAGCGACCATCATAAAGACTGAAAAATAAAATTGTGAAAAGATTATTGTTTAAGGTTGATGGACACGCATGTCTTAATTAGTTTTTTTTTTTTTACGAATTGGTCAAACCCAAACTCAAACAAAAACATTGTTTTCAATCATTATGAGTCTACCGATTGAATAGAATTTTATTATAAACAATTGTTTTGTAAATGGAATTTTTAACGCATTCTGAATGTAAAAATAAAGAAAAAAGTGTGCAAGACAATAAGAAACACTACATACCAAAAAAAAAAGTGAAGTTTTGTTGAAATCGGTTGAAAAATGTAGGAAATCCGATCCAATATATAAACGAACACACACACACACAAACAACCTGGGTTTTATAATAAATATAACTCGATATGAGTTGTCCCGCTTTCATTCTGGCGACAGAATCGTGTTTTCAAATTGATTTCATGTAAAAACAATTGTGTTTTTCCAATTTTTGGCGCTGTCAGAACCACCGCAAGGTAATTTTACGCAGTCCTGTGAAGTTTTGTTGAAATCGATTGAAAAATGTAGGAAATCTGATCCAATATATAAACGTACAGACACACACACACACACACACACGCACAACCTGGGTTTTATAATAAGTATGATGAAAAATGATAGAAATGTATTTTCCTCTCATGTTGGACAATGTTAGGAGTATTATGTATATATGTATTCATGTCCACATTCAGAGTTTAGGCAGATTTAATTGACAGTACAACTATACTCCACCACAAAAATAGTAAACAAAAACTTAAAATCCTGGAAGCCCTTTATATAAGAGAATCACGGCAAAAAATAAATATAGTCAATTATGAGTATAGCAACAAAGGTCTAAAATGTTTATAACAGCAAATTTTAAAAAAAAAATACTTAAATTATAATTTAAATTATATTTTAAAACATGTTACTGCAATTTTAATAGAAATTACATAAGTTATCTCCCTTACATAACGGTTAAATTTTTTTAGAATTTTACAGTGTTCATAACTTATATTAATTTATTGTCTTAGAAATTCAACCCCTGGAGATGATCTCAGATGAGATTAAAAGTATTTGGGAAAATAAATACCATATGAAAAACAAACTACAGTGTTTTTCTTGATCAGTTTCCTATGACCACTAAGAAATTAATATGAGAACTTGAGAGGATTAAAATAAAAATAGACATAATATGTCTAAACTATTTAACCAAACATGCTTGAATGAAGATACCCTGCCTAAATATATATATATATATATAGACAGAGAGAGAGAGAATGTATTTAAGCACCAAATATTTGTTTAAACCTAAAAATAACTAATGCATCATATTTAAAATTGAAGCACAGTTATCAGCATAGGATTTTTAACAAAGTGGACTTTAATTTTTGACAATGATGGTTGCAAGTTGGAAATACTAAATAAACTGATATGAACCATGTAAAATTCCTTCAGGCTTTCAATTCTAATATACAGAAATCATTCCATAAATTAAAAAAATACAGTTTAAAATTAATAAATATAATAGGTAATCTGTCTATATTTCTGAGATGAGGTGTTATGTATACTATTTACATTATTCAGACTATTGTCCTCATCTTTGTTGCCATATTTATTACAACGTTTCGGCCGTTGTACACTCCAGCCTCAAGGACACATAGCACAGTGGATAAAGGCGTTAGTTAGATCCAGTGACAAGACCCAAAGAGTGTGAGTTCAATACCTGGTTAAGGAGGTGAAGAACTTGGAGTGGGGAATTAACAGGAGATAACTGATCCATTAGACATGGCATGTGGAACTAGAACAGTCTACCCCAATGAGTGAAATAAAGGGTTCAGTTCAACATTCCAACCACCTGAAGAAGGCTGGAGCGTACAACGGCCGAAATGTTATAATAAATATGGCAACAAAGATGAGGACAATAGTCCGAATAATGTAAATAATGTACATAATAGGTACTATTTGTCTTGTCTATTTGACAAATACATACATACACACACACTGTCCTGGGTATGATGATAAACTACATCTGCATCCTGGGTATGATGATAAACTACATCTGCATCCTGGGTATGGTCCAACAAGGCCTCTGATCAGGTTTTCAGGAGCATGGAACCACCTGTTAAGTGCTGGTGTTTCCAGATTCACCCTGACCTAGGGTGGTAGCACCTGTTAGGGTCCAGCTATGGGTAAATAGTTAACTCCTAAACTGGGGTCAAAACACTATGAAAGTGTAAAAATAGGTTTTAATACCAGAAATACTTTGTGAAAAATTTCCAACAATAAATTTTTGTAGAAAATTTATTACCAGCAATACATTTTGAAAAAAAAAAAAATTGCCTCCAATAAAAATCTTGTTAGCATTAAATAATCCATTGAGGTTGATATGCTGTAAAACAAAACAAACTAAACCAAACCATACACACACATAAACATATAGGTAACCTTGAAAATTTGCTAAAACAAGATAAATGATGAAAAAATGTACAAAACATAATTAAAAAAAACAACTTTTAATGTTAAAACATTTGTATTATTATTAAGATGAAAGTATTTTTTGATGTAAAAATGATTTTTTCATACTTTTCAGAACCTTGGGAATTTGGTTAAAAATCTTTTTTTACTGGCATCACCACTGGTCCATAATGGGAAATTTGAGCCTGTTTTTGTGGCAAAAAACAAATTGATTTGGAATTTCTTGCAAAAATTTTATAATTGTCAGTTTTAATAAATGTTTCAGGACTTATTCAGAAATTAGTTAAATTTTTTTCTAAAGGTTCCTTTTTAGAAAACCTTTGAAAAATATTGGAATCTCTTCATATTTATATTACTTATAAGAACAAGTCCTTGGAGAATTTAAATCAAATATTTTTGGTCATACAGAACCCCCAGTTACAGAAAATCTGTAACAACCACATACACACACATACATATATATATATATATATTTTACAAAGTCCAAATTTTGACAAAAAGTAATATTTGCCAAGGAATAACTTAAATTGATAAAAAAAGCACTCAATACAATTTTCAAAAAACAGAAATGTAGGGCAATTTAAGACATAAAATAATTAGAACCACAACATTTCTACTGCCATGGTTTTTACCAATCTAGTATCATCAAACAATAAAATTAGGTGCTCTATCTTAAAACTCTATTATATGTACAATAATCCCAGCAAAGAGAAAGAAGCAAAGAGAAAGAAGCAAAAAGGGAAGAAAAAAGAATTTATCATATTTTATACAAATACTCCTACCCAGGATTGTTACTTGCCAGTAGGAATTTCTTTGTTTGTTTGCAAGCCATCATAATTTCTGATCTTTCATTAAATAGTTAGGGCTTCTCAGGCATTTAAATTCTATGTATAATAGTTTTCTAATTTTATCAATTTTAATTCTACAAACTTTAAAATTGATAAAATTAGAAAACTATTATACAGGGAATTTAAATGCCTGAACTTGAAAATTACTGTAAGTACTAAATTGAAAAAGGTGAATTTCCTAGATATAACATTAGATTTAATAATGTATACATACCTTATAAAAAACCCAATACTAAACCCTTTGTATATACACCCTAAATCTAATCATCCTCCATCTATAATTAAGCATATAACTTTACCTATTGAAAAGAGAATAAGTACAAATTCAGCAAATGAGAAAATTTTCTATGAATATAGTAGTTTCTATAATAAAGCTCTAAAGGATAGTAAAAGCCCAAAAGTAAATTATATAAAAAGTGAAAAAATATAAGTAGAAAAATCATTTGGTATACACCCCCATACAACCAAATGGTAAAAAACAAATTAGGACAAAAATTCCTTGCATTAATAGTTAAACATTTTCCTAAAGACAGTAAACTCAGTACAATTTTTAATAAAAATACCTTAAAATTAAGTTACAGTTGTACTGAAAACTTAGAAATGATTATTAAGATACATAATGCTAATATCTTGAGTAAATACTTAGACCAAAATTTAAGAAATTTAGACAGTATAATAAAGAGATGAAGATAAAAAAAATTATGTAACTGCAGAAATCCTCAAAACTATCTTCTTAATAATAAATGTTGCACTGAATTATTAGTATACCAATGCAATATCTCATCTATTGAAGACCCAGACAAGGTAAAAATCTACATTGGATGCACAAGACATGAATTCAAAAAGCATTTCAACCAACATCAAAGTTCTTTTAGAATAAATAAATACCGAAATCAGCTGTCCCTATCTAAATATTTCTGGCACTTAAAAGAAACCAATAAAACACCTACTGTGAAATGGAAATTAATAAAGAAAGCTAGAATCTGTAGGTTATTAAATGACCCATCTCCTTTGTGGATACATGAGAAATTATACATTACTAGGTTTATAAAAAATAAAAATTTATTTAATCAAAGAAATGAAGTAGCTATTCTTTGCTGACATTGTCCTTAAATAATGTATAAAAAAAAGCTGAAAATGAAACATACATATTTATATTTGATATTTTAATAATTTTTAAATAATAAAGTAATTCTAATACATTTATTTGTTTTAAAAGTATAGTCTATTAGTAGTTAGAATTAGGAATAATATTTTAAAATTGTATTTTAATACGACTTACTCATATTCAAACAACCCTTTTGGAAAAAATCTTTATGTATGCAATCACAAATTTAAAGGCAAAACAAAAGTGCCATAAAACTTTTTGTCATTGAAAAAAAACAGGCAACATGCGAAAAATGGATGTCATCATTTGTTGAACAGGCACACCTACCCTACCTTAACTTAACTTCATTTCAAAAGTAACTCATATTTTGATACAATAGTTGTCAGTGAAAATGAATGCCCTACTACCCCTTGTGAAAATGATTGACTTTCTCCATATCCTTAGAAACTAATATTAAGAATGTATGTGCTTATAAAACTCAGTAAATTTCAAAAAAAAAAAAAAAATTGCTTGAAAATGAAACAGGATTAGAGATTTTAATTTAATTCTATAATTAAATTTGAAGTTTTTGGTTTCTGCTTTTGAAACATGGTAATTCCTGTGTAGTGATGGAACCATATTTTTAAATTAGTAAATTTATAATATTTATGCTCTACAGAATTATCTTGAGTACTGTTTTTTAAAAATAAAAATAATTAATAAGCACACTGGATTATAAATCTTACTGTTCTTTCTCTTTATTTTAATATATATATGTGTGTGTGTGTGTGTATGTATGTGTATATATATATTTTATTACATAAACATTATTTTTAGTGGGTAGCCATATTTGAGCAGATGCTTCGTTTATTTATTAAATGGAAGGTAAACTCAAATAAGGGTATATAATAAAAATAATGTTTAATTAAAATCTGTTGGATGAATATATATATATATATATATATATATATTATAAATTAAAATAAAGAACAAGTAGGAAATCTATCTCAATTTTCACTTATTAAAGCTTCATCAGAAATCAAAATAGAAGTGAAATAAACAAAGATACACATTGGTATGTTATGATTTTTGGTTAGTTCTTATTGGTCAGATATTTTTTTTTTTTTTTTAAGCACTACACCCCAAGCAAGGCGTGATGCCACTAGGGTGCAGGGTTTTGCAGAAGATAGGAGTGATAAAAGAAATGATGAGGAGAGGGATAGTGGATAGATCAAGGTAACTGGAGATGTCGATTGACATTACATTTGAATAGTTGGAGATTATAGCTCTCAGGGAAACAGTAATTGGGAAGGGTGTTCCACAGGCGAGAGGTGCGAGGTATGAAGTTATTGGAGTAGAAGAGACGGCTACATTTAAAAGTTTCTACAGTGAAACGGTGAGAGCGGGATGTGTCGTGTATTAATGCAATAGATAAAATATAAATATGTATGAGGAAAATTTTGCATATCTTGTCAGGTTTATATCTATATCTGATCTATATTTGAACTTCAACTCACATATATGTGTGTGTGTGTGTGTGTGTGATTTATATTTTATATTATCTGGAATATGATTATTAGAGTATTAAGAAAATTGGCTCTATTTAGTTGTTTTTTTTTTTATTAAATGCTGATTCTTAACAGTTGCATTCTTCAAAATATATCTTCCTGCTTTTAAAAATATTTGATTTCTGATTCATTTCAATGATTAGCAAAAATATTTGTTGATGATCTTTATTCTGTTTGTTTTTCTGATTTGTAGATTGCAAAACAGAGATGTATCCCTGTCAACCAATACAACCACTCATAGCTCTTTTGAACTCAAACAATCCTGACATTCTTTGTAATACTTGTGCTTGTTTAACCTCATTGGCTACTTCAGGTAAGAATTAATGTTTATCATTCAACCCCCACCACCCCATTTTTGATCATTTCACCCCAAGCAAGGCGATAAAGCCATTAAGACACAAGGGGTTACTGAGAGTGAAGAAGACTGAGAAACTGTTACTGAGTTAAAGGACAATAGAACAGGATGCAAAATGACAGATGACAATTGACATTGCATTTAAATTTTTGAAGATTGTAGTTGAGATGAGAGCAAGCACCCAGAAGAGAGTTCCACAAGTGAGAAGTGTGATAGAAGAAACTGTTAGCATAGAACTTATGGCTACATCAAGCCACTTCAACTTTAAAATGATGAGACCCAGCTGACAATCTAGTACTGCACTGAAATTTGTAATGTTGAGTTACCAAAGAGGAACACTCATCAGAACAATTACAATGGCAGTAGGAAAATGATTAAAGTCAAGATGCCAGGTCAGGACCAGTAACATTGCAAATTCTTTTTTGAATTTTATTAAGAATCTCTAAATATAAATGAACACTTTCCTCTAAGAAGAATTTGTTTTTAAACACAAAATAATTTTTTAGGTGGTTAGTGGAGGGTGAGTACAAAAATCTTCCAGCAGTAACAATCCACTGGGGTTTTACCAAAACATGTATGAGCAAAATAAAAGTATTGAAAAAATCACAATCCTTTTAATTGCTCCTGCAACCTTTGTCAGTGCTTGATTCTAAATTTTAGTTTTTATACATTTTATATCAGATATGAACCGGGATATGCCACTAATGCAAATTGTTGTAACTGGATATAAGTTAAAAATTATAACTTAGAAAAAAAAAATGGAAATTATTAAAAGATAAATAAAAAAAATAACATAAAAAATAAAAATATAAAATAAAATAGTAAAAAATTTAATGAAAGACAAAAGATATAGAGAATGTACATAAAAGTATATATACATAAACACACACAGATATATAGATATATATATATATATATATATGTGTGTGTGTATATATATATATATATATATATATAAAATAATGATGGATGTCAGTTTTTACTCTTAGAGGCTGTAGGTCAACATATCATTTTGGAATCAGGCTGATTCCTTGAGCAAATTAAAATCATTCTGGGGCCGGATCCTGACTTGCAGTCCTGAAATATTGGATTCCCAAGTTTTCATTAGTGTGATTGTTTTAGATTTCATCATCTTGGCAGAGAGAAATAGTTAAAGGACATAACTCTCTAACTTTGAATAGCTCATGTTCAAATGAAAAAATTACAGTGTTTCAAAATAAACTTGTCCGTGTTTTCAATTTTACTCCTAGAGGCCATAGCCCAACATATCATATGATTTTGGAATCAGGCCAACTTTGTGAGCAAATTAAAAACATTGCTTGCCTGATCTGGACCTGCAAACCTGAAATTTTGGATTCCCAAGTTTTCATTACTGCAATTGTTTACATCGATTTTTTTCTGTGATTTTTTGCAACAAATTTTTTTGTACGATAACAATTTTTATAACTTGGAAATAAATTTGGGAATAATCAAAATTTATTGAGAAAAACAGTGAAAGTCACTCATGAAATAAAAATAATTGTTTATAAAGAAAGTAAGGACCTATGTACATCAAATTGTTTTTAAATGAAGTGTAGGCAGAAGAATTATTGAACTTTTATAAGATAAGATTAAATATTAATGCAGCACTTAAATGCAGTGATGAGTTTTGAGTTCTTCTGTAGTTTATTGTTGTCTATCACTTCTACATCCTACCTAATGTGATGAAGACCCAATCAAGAACCCTTTGCAGGAGCTAGCTTAAATGCCACCCGATAGGGTGAGTTTTAAGCTAGTGTGTATATATATATATATATATATATATATATATATATATATATATATATATACTAGCTTAAAAGCCACCCTATCAGCAAATCCAACACTTTTGACCAAAAATCCACCAAAAACTTTGCTGGTCTTAAATGTACATGTTTGATCTTTTGAACTTTAACTTTATTTATTTTAATTAATTTATCTCATGTTACTATTTTTAATTTGTGTTAAGCCTACTTTGTGTAAATATATATATATATATATATATATATATATATATATATACAGTATCCTATTATTTATACCTGGCATACAGACATAATAGTAAACAAGAATATGTACAAATATTTAAGAGAAAAATGCTTGGATATATTTTAAAAATGTTTTATTTGAAGAGTATGATTTTTCCAATAGCCTAATAACTAAATAGATATATATTTTTTACTAATGTTCACCCAATACAAGGCTGAAGGCCCACTCAAGGTAGAAGTTACTGTGTGGAGTTGTAAGAAAGGAAAAGGTAACAAGAAAGATAGCAAAGTCTAGAGTTAAAGAGGTCAAGATTTAATTATCAAATAAAATTTAAGAGTTCAGGTGGAGACATTAGGAGTATAGAGTTGAAGTAGACTTTAGAAGAAACTGGAAACCCAATCCTAAACAGGAAACAAGGGATAAACATCTATTTCTGTTATGCTTCAAATTATTATTAAAAAACATGGAGATTGATAATTTGATATTTGTTTTAAATGCTGTGCAATTTTTATTTTCCTCTATAAATTATAAGTTAAACAAATTTTATTTTAAATTGGTATCCATTCAAACATATTGTCGGAGTTAGCTCCTCCTTAATTCTCAAATTTCACTAGGGGTCATTCTCCCTATACTATGAATACTGTGCACCATCTTGCACTCTTGTTCTCTTTCCTTCAGGCCTTGTGCCGCATCCCACCTCGCGTGGAGGTGAGGTAAATCCTCTTTTTCATTTCTTCATTTCAGCAACTACAATGTAAGCTCTCTTAGAAATTCGCGTCTTCCCATTTGTGGGAGACGCCATGAACATTATACATACATACACGTTACACACACACACACAAATGTTATTGTCCATTGTAAAATTGTTTTGTTTAATACATATATTTGTTTATATATATATATATATATATATATATATATATATATATATATATATATATATATATATATATATCTTGTTTGTCTTTTTTTGTCTTTTTTTCGGTTGGACACAACTAGAGTTCGCCATTTTCTTGTATCTAGACCTTCTTCTAGCAGGAAATATAAATGCACATGTTTTCTTTTCATCTTCACCCTCCGGTCCGCTACAATATCATATCTTAATAATTTTCACTAAAAAGACATTTTTATTTTGCTCAAATCTGATTAATTGACAGACTATTTTCTGATAATGTGTGCACTATAATCTAACTCTGTCTAATTTGTTAAGTTTACCAAATGTTAATTTACATATATTTTTAAAGTATTTTTTCACAAGCATTACACAATTATCTTTATGTCTTCTATTTCAGATACATGCAGGTTTGAAATCCTGGCCGAAGATGGTCTCCAATTGCTTTTGAAGATGTTATATAATAATAATGTGCAAGTTCTACGAAATGCAGTTGGAGCCATTTTTAATCTTACACAAATGGGTAAGGAACAATTCATGGTTTTCAAAAAGATGTATTACTTTTCTGTATTAAAGATTTTACAAGTGTACAAATATATAAATATTGTGAGCTTCAAATTGAGAGAAACAAAATGGTTTTCAAAAAGGAAACATGCTCTACTTGTAACATCAGAGAGAACATTTCTGAATTTCAGGTAGAAATCAAGGACATATTCAAGATTTTGTGGAATAATGAAAATAATATTGAAAACATGAATAGTGAATTGGCAACTATAATTAAAAATAAAAAGGGAAAAAAAACAAAATAGCAATAATAAAGGGAGATAACTCAGTCAACACTAGCAAAAAGTATATATATAGGGACAGTAAATGCCACTAGAACACAGGGTGTTACAGGGATTTTAAGAGAATGAGAATGAAAAGATTGAAAATGAAAAAAATGGGGTTCAAGAAGACAGAAGATGACGTTTGATCTTGCATTTAAATTTTTGAAGATTGTAGTTATCAGGGAAGCAAGAAATTGAAAGGGAGTTTGACAAGTAGGAAGTGTGAGAAGAAAAGCTGTTAGAGTAGAAGTGGCATTTACATTTAACTAGTTCAACAGTAAAATGGTGAGACCTAGTTGCCAATCTAGTAGCACACTTAAATTCATGTAGCCTGGGTACCAGAAAAAAAAGCTTGTCCAAGCAGTTGCCATGAAAATATTTGTAGAACAGACAAAGGGAAGCCACATCAGATCAGTGAGAAAGTGACTGAAGATGAGATGCCTGGTCAGGACTGATTGTATTGCAGACCCTTCTCTAGATTTTGTCAAGAATCTCAAGATGTATAGTAGAAACACCAGACCAGATATAGCAACAGTATTCAATACACAGATGAATTGTAGATTTATAAATGTACAAGATGGATTCTGATGAGAAAAACTTTTTGACACAACACAGTTAACTAACCGTCCTCACAGCAGACATAGCCATTGACTCGATATAGTCAGTCCACTTCATGGCAGTGGAAAACATGAAGCCAAGAAGGTGTAGAGTGTTGCTCTTCTGGAGTTCAGCATCAGCCATTCAGATGGTAAGCAGAAAACGTTTTCTGTGGTGGTTAAATGAAAGCAGTTTTATTTTGGAGGCATTGAAATTTACAAGCCATTTCTTGTTAGCCACTGATTGGAGGTTGTTTGCAGGATTAGTTGCTACTAAGACAGGAGTAAATGGTAGTGTCATCTGCATAAATACATGTTTGGGAATCTGTCAAGAGGATAGAGCTGCAGTGCATAGCAGGTGTCTGGAGTGGAGGTAAAAAAGAGATCAATAGAGAGGCATGTCCATAGAAATACTAGGGAAACATGTGAGGAAGTCTATTATTTGTGTGAGAGATAGCAGCATAGAGAAGTTCAAAGTCTGGATGTCAGCAAAGTCAGTGGCATTAGAGTGTAATCCATCTGATATGGTGGGCTTTGAAATTGCCAAATACAAAGATATTTGCAGACAGGTATAGACAGAGGCCCTTATCTATACTATCAGAAATTTCATCAGACATGCAACAATTCTGAGAGGAAGGGGAATTATAGTGGAAGAAGAGATAGCTGACTGAGTTTAATAGAGAAATATGGAGACACATGTAAGAACAGTTCAAAGACTCAAGAGAGAGTTACCTTGCCAGTGGGAGATATTTCCAAACATATACACCAAGGACACGTGGACATTAAAATCTTTCCAAAAGAAAGGTAGATAGCTAGGAAAAGAGAATTCAGCAGAAGAGATTGAAGAATTCAGATTATTTTCATAGAGAGCTACGATGTCTGGAGAGTGTTCCAAGAGGAATGATTCCACAGTGCAGAAATTGGTAGAAATATCATGAATGTTAGAGAAAGGAAGGTTGAAGGCTTTAGGTATTTGTTGGCGAGCTGGTTTAGTTGTATTTCATTTATATTATGACAGATGAAATAGAAAATGTAAAAATTAAACAAACTAATTAGCAAAAGAAAGAAATTAAAAACCAAAGAAATAGAAACATGGAAACAGATGTTTTCGTGTTCTATTTTAGACATATGCAGATTTAAAATTTTGGCTGAAGATAGTCTTCAATTCCTTCTGAAGATAATGATGTGCAAGTTCTAAGAAATGCATTTGGAGTCCTTTTTAATCTTACACAAATGAGTTAGGAACAATTCCTGTCTTTTAAATTGATGCATTAAACAAGAGATTTTACAAGAATGAAAATATTTAAATGTTGTGAGATTTAAGAATGTTTAACTAACCTGAAACAATTTTTTTTACCCAAAAGAATTTATTTTATACAAATATTTACTTTTCAACATAATCTCATACCTTGTCAATGCACTTAGTTCAGTGGCATATATTTATCACATAATTTGAACATTATACAGTGAGAATTTGAATTTAAAAGTTCAGGATACAAACTTATTGATCAAGTTTCATATATAAGAGCCAAATATATTTCAGCATCTCTAATTCTTATATTTCAATAATTGAGTAAATACCACATCAGATATATCTGTTATACACCAGATGTATTTGTTATATGTCAGATGCATCTGTTATATGCCAGATGTATTTGTTATATGCCACTGTATACAAAGTCTGTCCAAACAGTATCCAGCCATCTTTAGTGTCTTGAGAACTGGTTGAGCAGCCATTATGTAATTTGTCAATCAATCAGAGGCAACCTTACAGAGCATGCATGAACAGACATTCTCCTATATGGTTACTAAATTGGCAGTTATTTTGGAAATTATTTGGCATTAACAATTACTTTTACTTATTTAGTGATGCTTATTATTTGAAAATGTGAAGTAGTTTTTATTTTTTCCCTAGCTGAGAGTCGGGATGAAATTGTACGCAAAGGAGGCATTCCCCTACTGATAGCAGTTTTACGAGACTGTTATGACATTGATGTACGTTACTACTGTTTTGGAGCCATTGGTAACATAGCCATCACCCCAGAAAATCGTCAAGCCCTTCTTGAGGATGATGACAAATTATTGATCAACTATTTACTTGTCCTTAATTTATCCTCAGAGTCAGAAAAGGTAAGTTTAATGCAGTCACTTTCCCACCACTATAAGGTTGCCTTCCTTTGCTTTTTCTATAAATACTTTCATGGTAGTTGTTCAGAAGAGCTCTTCACTATGGTGCCTGGACTTTAAGTGCAGTACTAGACTGTTGACAAGGTCTCACCAATTTACAGTTGAGTTGGCTAGATGTAACCATAAATTCTATGTTAACAGTTTCTTTTCTCACACTTCTTGCTTGTGGAACTCTCTTCCAGCTTCATGTCTTCCAGCCAACTTTAATCCACAAAATGAAACTGCTATCTGTTAATTATCATAGAGAACCATTTTTTACTTCCATCAGTATGGCTGATGCTAACCTCCAGGAGAGCGACTCATTGAACCTTCTTGATATCACATTATCTACTGACATGGAGTGGAGTGATTATATTGAATCAACTGCGAGGTCTGCTTCTAAGAAAGTTGGTTCATTGTGTTGTGCCAGGCAATTTGTCTGTCCATTGGTCCTCCCTGGCATCTTGATTTCAGTCCTTTTCTAAGTGTCATGATGTGGCTACCCTCTTTCTTGTCTATAAATATTTTCATGGCAGTTGTTCTAATGAGATTTTCTTGGTACCTCAATCATATGAATTTAAGCATACTACTACATTGGCTACTAGTTCACATCATTTTACTTTTGCAATAGCTAGATGTAACTGTATGTTCTATTCTAATAGTTTCATTCTTGAACTCCTGATCTGTGGGACTCTCTTCCAATTATTTTGCCCTACCTGCCACCCACAATCTTTAAAAATTTAAATGCAATATCAATTGCCATCTTCTGCCATCCTGAATCCTGTCTTTTTATTATTTAGAATGAAATGATTAAAAAAAATATATATAAAAAATTTTCTTCTTTTTCACAAAACCTTTTTGTTTATTCTTCACTTTTCATTTTTTAATAAATTTGTGGAAGTTTAAAGAAGCCCCCATGAAAATTTAAATCTCCACAACCTTAAAAAGCTCAGAAAATGAACAGCTTAAACATTGTCAAATAAAAATATAAAAAAAAAAATCAAAAAAGCAAAAATAATCTACAAAATTGTTTAAAATATTTAAACCAAATGTTTGAATATTTATACAGATAACTTTGCCAAGCAATTTCCTTAGTTTTTAAAAAGACATGTTTTTGAATAACTTTATCAGATTGAGACTTTCATATGGATGTCAAGCATGGCATCAAACTCATTCAAAAATGTCTAAACTGTCAACTGTATACAACCATTTTCTCAGATCAATAGTTAAAAATGACTTTGACTGAGTGAAACCTGTAAGTCTCAGCAAAGACCATTCTTCTATGAGCCTCATGGACTGCTGATACAGAATCACAAATAACTGTAATAAAAGTACAGAAGCCACATTAATTGAAGACGTTCAACATCAGCAACAACTAAAATGTATGGCATTTGCTAATGGCAAAATGAAGATGATGACATTCCACACTACTTCAAACAAAATGTTTAGGAAGGAAGTCCCCATCATTACTACAAAGAGCAATAACAGTTAGTGGACTTGAGAAATCTATTTTTCTGAAAAACTGTTTTTAAGAAAAAGACTTTATAAATTGGAACTGAAAGAACACTGTTTGCTCAGTCAATGAATGCCAAATGTTTCCACATAAGGAAATGGTTAATATTACCATTATCATTATTCAATCAATAAAGTTTAACAGAGGTTATGTATTCACCCATGGTTGTCTGTTTGTTCATACAATATTTCCAAAAGTTTTCAATCAATTTCAATAACATTTTGCAGAAAGGTGGGCCAGGGAATAATTATTTAAATTTTGAAGTTGAGTAAATTTCTTTTTGATTGAGAGATATTGAAACAATAGTACAAAATATATATAAAGATTCAAACTCACACAGTTATCTCCCCTGCATCATATCTATAAACTGATTTCCATTCTGTTTTTTACTATGACAATGGCAAAAGTATGCACTTTCTGAGTGCTTTCTAATTAATATATTTCACCACTTGATACTATATTTGATGAGTCATGAGACCACCTCTCTTTTCCTTTAAATGGCTCAAAATGTATCTCCCAAGTCTCATATGCTGAGTTGAGGTGTTCAATACACTAATACATACCAAGAGAGAGTAAACTACCAGTAATTGTATGTAGCTTAACCCTATAATACTTTAATATTAAATGTAAATTGGGGTGGGAGTCTTTTCTGACATTGAATGTGGTATTTTGACTTTAGCTGCTAAAAAAAAAACTTTCACTGCTTTTAAGAGTTTTTATATAGAGTTATACAATAGCATTTGTTAAAAATGATTTTTCATTTTATTCCCCACTCCCATAATTTATTTTCTTTAATTCTGTGTTAGTCACATGGGGTGTTTTGTCACCTCTAAATTTTTAAAGTACTCATAATTCCTAGTTGGTGACTTGTTTCTTTAGCTCTCTCCAATTACTCTTCTGACACAGTGAGAGTATGTCGCGTGGTGTGGCACAGCTTTTGCTGAGGACTCATATTCCAATTTAGTGTTTGCAGTAAGAGGGATACAGTCAAGGAATTTCCTGATGCCTGTAGCATGTCAAAATGAAAACTGGGCAATGAATATTTCTATATTCCTTGTGAGATTGTGTGCTATTGGCTATACTGTTCCCTTAAACTTAATCTTTGTCTTTCTTTACCATCTTCTTTTATATGCTGTGTACTTTCAGGACAATCATGGCTCTCCACAACATCCTGTCCTTTGTACCTCTTGGAAATATTTGTTTTTTTTTTACTGTCCTTTCCACTCTCTGATCTAATATCCATTTACAAAAGCTTTTTTTCCTTCTGTCCCTCTTTCCTTAATTATGTCTTGTGTGCATCAAATTCTCCAGATTTGTTTTTCTCATTGTGTCCAAATATTTCAGCTGTTACTTTCTGATTCGAAATATATCCTTCTTGTTTCCATTTTCCTTAAAATTTCTTTGGTCTATTTTGCTTTTATTGCCCCATTCATTTTCATTCCATATGTAGGTGGTTTGCTCCCAGCATATATTCTGGTGTCTTTCCCAAATAAATGAAGTTTTCCTACCTGTTCAAATTGATTTTTGTGTTTTACCTCATCAAATGCTTTTGAGTAGTCTATGAAACATAGGCATATATCGTTATGCATTTGTATTGCTCTCACTGATATCATTCTGATCATAAATATTCCATTTCTTGTTACAGTGTCTTTAACAAAACCACCTACTTCTGCTATTTACTCTATCAGAATCCTGATAAAAAGTTTACTTATGCAGCTCATTGATTGTCTTATGGAGCTCACATTCATTTGCACCTGGCTTCATAGGCAGCACCACATAATGTCTTCTAGTATTTCCATAACCATGTTGATATCAAAATCATCTAAAGCTGCTAGCATCTTTATTACAATCCCATTTGGTTCTGCTGTTTGATCTTGTCCAATTCTGGTCTTAACTTACACTTTAATATTTCAGGTCCTCTATATTTTTGTGTATTTTTTATTTTTATTTTTCTTTGTGAAAGAGTTCTCCAAGATAAGGAGTATTTTATTTTCCTATTATGATCATTCCCCCTTTTGATTTTATGCATCCTATCAAGAAATATATCTTTTGTCTTGTTATTTCTTTTATGCATATTTGCTACGTCAATTTTTGTTTGCCATACCTCTTTTGCCTTCTTGCATTTGTTTCTAATGCTTCTGTTTAATGTTCTATATTCGGTACCATTCCTTGGCATTTTTTGTTGTTTCTTTTTCATCATGTTGAGAATGTCATCTGCTCTCCATCTCTTTTTTTGTCCATCTCACTTTCCTTGGGATGATCTCACTCGCTAACTAGAGCTTTTCTTAATATATTCCATTTTGAATTTCCTGTTTCATCCATGTTATATTTATTTTCAAAAAACACTTTGCAAGTTGGAACATTCCAGAGTCTGTTGTACTGTAATTTAGTGGCTACTTTGGTTTTCTTTAATTTCCTTAATTTTATTCCAAGTTTGCATATAACTATTCATCCTAGCTTTATTATTTACTACAATCTAGTTTATACACAACATAAAACAGGATCTTAGATAAGAAGAAAATAGCTCTTGAATATTCTCCATTCTACTCTTTAAGCTGGCTTTCATATTGCAATCAATGTTAATTAAATTTTATTTTATATCTAATCTTGTGTTTGCATTGGTTTGTCAAATGATTTTATGTTGAAGCTACTGTTTCAATTATCAATATTATCAATCTATACGAAATGTTTTTACTACAATGATTTCATTTATAACAGTTTCATAAAGTGTCTACATGGTTAAATTATTCATAAAACTATTTTATTTCTCAACTTTTTATCATGTCTTATGATCTTTTATTTCAAACAAATTTTTGTTCACTTTGATTTTTTTCAGGTTGTCTGCCAGTGTTTGGTCGCTCTAAGGAATCTTGCTTCTGATAGTAAGTTAATTCTTTTGAAATGGTAGAATTTCATTTTTCAGTTTTACAAATCTAAAACATATATAGTCCAAGCTCAATAAATTAAGTGCTTTTTTAAAACTTATTGTCAATTTAAACAGACTATACCCTTCTTGAGAAGACAGTGATATGGGAATGGCAGTAGTTGTAACAGCAGAATTGTATAGTGTATTTCAGTGGCCACATTATGGTAAGATGTAATAGTGATAAGTTAGTGAAAAAAACTATCTACTAAATGTATCAGAGATTGTATTACATTAAGGTGAGGGCTTTAGGGTTGTGGCCAGCCGGAGGGAATCCTGAGAATAAAATTTAAAATTGGCATGTCCCTTCAAGATGTATATGATCATGGATCTCCACAGATTCCTTTTCTTTAGTATCTGTCTATATATCTGAGATGAGGTATTATGTACATTATTTACATTATTCAGACTATTGTTCTCATCTTTGTTGGCATATTTATCACAACGTTTCGGCCGAGTTCAATACCTGGTAAAGGCAGTGTAGAACTTGGACAGGTGAATTAACAAGAGATAACTGATAACTGACATCCATTAGACATGGCACATGGAACTAGAACAGTCTGCCCCAGTGAGTGAAATAAAGGGTTCAGTTTGACATTCCAACCACCTGAAGAAGGCTGGAGCATATAACAGCTGAAATATGGCAACAAAGATGAAGACAATAGTGTGCTTTTGTTTATTATTAATAAATTGTCATGACTTCTTTGGAAAGATAGTGGAGTAGTTTCTTTTTGCCGCCTTCATGATTTGTAATTCATAGTAGTCCTTCTTTTAGATTGGCTGCTACCCAAGGCTAGAGAGCTTAATATACTGTAATATATAATCCAAAGCTAGAAGAGAAGAGATGGAATCTTACTTTTCCCAAGAGTATTAGTGCAAAAGCAAATGCAACAGATTAGGCTGGAATTAGAACTTGGCTTGCTTGATCCACTTTCTGCACTGATAACCATTACACTAACTGAAAACAAAGCCTACACACTCTAATATATGCAAGATGTTTTATATACAAGATCTCTCTCACAATGAGATGTTTCCAGTAATTTATATAGAATTTTTGTATTTTTGACCAAAGTTTTCCTTAAGGGATCTTGTAAATCGTGGGTGGCTAGATGCTTTATATATATATATATATATATATATATATATATATATATATATATATATATATATGTATATATATACTATAGCAAAAAGGAAAGAAAAGAAAAACGCTTGTAATAAAGAAAGAATTAACTTCTTTAATTATGTTGAAATAATATAACTTTTGTTAAATGATTACCCATTCAGGTGGAGAGAGGAGTTTCTTCAAGATGAATCCATCTTAAAGAAACTATGCAGATTGGTAATGGCACAAGAATGACTAAACAGACTTGCATGGAAATTGAAGAAAAACAAAGAATTTATAATTTATTGATATTTTTGAGAAATATTTTATCCCTAAGCAAAATGCAAAGCAAATGTTTGATTTTTAATTGATTTAAAAATAAATCAAGTATTTCTTTAACTTCATTTTTCTTTCAAAAAATAAATGGGAGACTTTGTATTATTTGTAGCTCAAGTACCTACACAAATTTAATTTGTTATTTGGTCTATTTATACAATAGGCACAGTGACAGATTAAGATTTTATCTAAGGATAATAATAATAAAAATGTTTAGCATTTCAGTCATTTTTATCTGTAGATTATGACAGGAAAAATGAATCCTGTATTTCTTTATATTTTTCATGGACTTTAACGTAAATGGTAAGTTTTAAATAAGTAATTGTTTTTATTTCCTTTGATGTTTGATAAACTAAAAGTGTAACTGACTTTGTAAATAGTTTAGTATTTATTCATACCAAAGGAAGGACTAGATTAACCATTAAGTAAAATAAGCATTTGCTTAGGGCACCAAAAGAGGTGGTGGTACCAACAATGGAGGTGACACAAAATGAGAAGGAAGCAGCAAAAGACAAGTAGACAGCAAAAGGTAAAAAAGAGCACAAAAGGGAAGGGGGGGACAAAAGGAAGGGGGGGACAAAAAGGGGGGGGGACAAAAAGGAAGAAAAAAGGAAGGGGGGGACTAAAAGGAAGGGGGGGGAACTAAAAAGGAAGGGGTGCCAAAAGAGTAAAAAGTGCTAAAAAGTGACATAGATAAATAGTATAGGATATAAACTCCTATATTTTAGAGCCAATAAGTGAAGAACAAACAAGTAAGAAACTAAATAAACTAAATAAATCTTACTAAATTTAGTAGATACGTAAAACTTTTTTACAATTCTGTACCAACATGGCTCCAAATTAAGCAGTTTCTGAAACCTGATTGGATATGACAAGTCATGTGATGTGTTCTCTACTATGTCTGCACAGTTGAACTCCAAATGACCTGGAAATAGTACATTCCCAGGCAAAACTCAGATAGGGTTTGTGAGCCGGTCATTGACTGTCAAATAGCAATAAAAACAACTTGTAAGCAAAAATCAGGACCAGATCTGCAACAATATAGCTAGTGATGTACAGTCCCTGAAAGACTATTGGTGTACTATATCACTTGATTTTCTCACTTGTATCAAAAACACTTTGAAACTTTGCAGATTCACTAGCAACAAATCATTTCAAACAACTGAACTATTGGTCTCTTCATGGCCATAACAAAGAACATTGATTTTTAATATGGAAATACATGTATCTAACTTTATAAATGCTACTGTCATATTTAGCTTGGTATTTTTCCTTTTCTACAAAGATCATTTTTGTGTGTTGCATAAAAAATTGTGTTGTATTTGAAGACATGACATTTGGTTTTATTTTTTCTCCTAAAATCCAGGTAGACTGACTCTACAATAGATAGATAGATAGATAGATAGATATGAACAGACTGAGATAGATAGATAGATAGATAGATAGATAGATAGATATGAATAGATGAGATAGATAGATAGATAGATATGAACAGACTGATAGATAGATAGATAGATAGATAGATGATATGAGCAGACTGAGATAGATAGATAGATGATAGATATGAGCAGACTGAGATAGATAGATAGATAGATATGAACAGACTGAGATAGATAGATAGATAGATATGAACAGACTGAGATAGATAGATAGATAGATAGATAGATATGAACAGACTGAGATAGATAGATAGATGAACAGATGAGATAGAACAGAATGAACAGATGAGATAGATAGATAGATAGATAGATAGATATGAACAGACTGAGATAGATAGATAGATAGATGAGATAGATGATAGACAGACTAGATAGGAGATAGATATGAACTGAGATAGATAGATAGATATGAACTGAGATAGATAGATAGATAGATAGATAGATATAAAAAGGTTGAGAGAGAGAGCAAGCAAGCTTGATAGATGAGGTAAATCTCTACACAATTCCAAATAATTTTCTGAAATATTAATTATTGTTTTTTTTTATTATTTACCACTAACTTTTCAGCTTCCAATCAAGAAGAATTGGCCATTGGTGGTGCTGTTGGCAAAATTCATGAAATCATCAAATCTACAGAAAATAAAGAAATTATTACCATGGCATTGGGATGTCTTCATAATCTCTCTGGCCATAATGGCAACCAGGTAAATTAGATTTCAAGAAATTGAGAAATTATTTCATTTGGCCCTCATTTAACCTCATCTTATAATTAAATCTAACAAATTTAAAATTTTGAATTCGTAAAATATACATTCCTGAATAATGTCTGGATTAATTAATTAAATAATGTCTAAAATTTCCAAATAATGTCTAAATTCATTAATAATATCTGTACTCCTGAATAATATCTAAATTCATAAAAACTAATGTCAACCTTTCTGAATCAAAAAAGAAAATAATGTCTAGATTCATGAATAAATAATGTCTAGATTCTCAAATAATGTCTAAATTCATGAATAATGTCTCATTTCATAAATTGATATGATGATGACTAAAAAAGCTAGTATTTTATTTTTACCTCCTTTTTTTAAAAAATAATTTCACCCCAAGCAAGGCAATAAAGCTACTAAGACACAAGGTGGCTACTGAGTGTGAGAGAATATGAAGAAAAACATTATTAAGGGGAGAGAACAATAAAAGAACAGGAATTAAGAAGACAGAAAAGAACAATTGATATTGAATTTAAATTTTTGAAAGTCAAAGTTGACTGGAAAGCAAGAAGCCAAAGGAGAGTTCCACAAGTGAAAAGTGCAAGAGAAGGAACTGTTAGCATAGAACTTATATAAATAGTGTTTATTATTTTTGTTGCCAGTTCTCAAGAGTTAAAAAATGTATAAATTCACTTTCCTATGTTTAAGTTTTATTACAATTCTTTTAAAACAATAAAAATTGCCGATGAATAAAGGTAGTTAAAATAAATGTGATGTCATGGGAAAAATTGTCCTTTTGACACATTTTTTGGGGCCCAAAGTTCCATGTTTACCTGTTTTTGTTATTTTTTTTATTATTTTTTCCAATTTTTCTCAAAACTTGGGCACAGTTAGATATTGTTAGTTTAAAAAAGGAGTAAAAAAAAAATTAATAACTATACATTATTTCATCATTTTACAGTTAAAATGGCTAGATGTAACTGTAGTTTCTTCTCTTGCTCTTTTGGAACTCTCATCCGGCCTCTTGAATTCCAGTCAGCTTTGGGCTTCAAATATTTAAATACAATGTCAGATTTTTAGCATTTTCTGCAGTGCTTATCAATTCCAAAGGAATGTGCAGATGGTGTAATGGTATTAGCTTGGAATGAGAAACTGATGAGCCAAGTTGAAATTCCAGTTGAGTTCATTACATTTACTTTAGGAAAGGTATGAATTCATCAGTTCTCCTTTCATCTATGGGTTAAATAGTAGAGCAGACTAAACCCTTCAGTCTTGGTTTGGCAAATAGTCTAGGAGAAGGGAAACGTAGAATTCCCAAACCTGACTAGGGAGAACTTGTCAGCATAGGAACACTTAATCACCTGAGGGAAAGAAAACCTCAATAGAAAACCAACCTCTCCTCAGGTAACAGAGGTTGGGTGTGGGGCCTATCATCCTCACGCCTTGGAACAATTCAATCACAGAAACCTCACCAGAGCTATTATGAGCCCTGAGACATCAGATACATAGCTCTCATCCATTGGAAGGGAGATAACTCAATGATATTTGAAATAAAAATATTTCCTTAAATATAAAGAAAAGTCAGTTTGCAGAATCTTCTTCTATGCGTCGTCCCTTTATCATGGGTCTCCACAATTTCCTGTCTTTTCTAGTTATTATCAAATTTTGTCTTTTTGTTATTTCTCCTAAACTTTCTGCCATCCATTTACACAAGCTTGTTTTGTAGGTTATATGTCGTTTTCCTCTGCCTTGATTTGTCCTGTGAGTGTCAAATTTTCCAAGCCCTCTTTCTTCATTATATGCCCTAGAAATTTCAACTGTCCCTTTCTGATATTAACTATAAGTGTCCTTTCTGTTTCGATTTTCTCTAAAATTTTGTTGTTTAAATGTTCAGTCTATGGTATTCTTAGCATTGTTCTGTAGAGCTATATTGCTGTTCTCTTCTTCATCTATGAGGAAATTGTTCAGCATTCACTGATATATAGGAAGACTGCTATTATGTAACAGTTCATTACTTAATTTTTTTTTTTTATTTCTAACAAAATTTTTCTGTTTCATAATACTTTGCTTAGCTTTTGGAAGGCATCTTTCACTATCCCATTACACTTTTGGATTTTGGTGTTGCACTTTCTGTCCTCTGTTAAAACACTTTCCAGATATTGTTGTCATACTTGTTTGATTTTAGCATCTCCAATTTGTAGTGTTTCTGTTGTAGTAAAGAAAAGACTGTCAACTGATAGTAGCAACTGCAATAGATTTCTTCTGTTTCTCAACTGCAACACTTGTAGCCAAATCGCAGTTCAAACGATAGTTTGACATAACAGTCCAACAAACAACGTAGAAACGACAAAATGGGATCACACATCCAACCTTCACTTCTCACCAGAAAAAACGCGTGTTCGTTCCACCAAACTCAAAAAAAAATCATCTCCTTTTATTTTAAAAACAACGACTTCTGTTCACCAAGAGAATTTTCTGATTGGTCACGCCATTCAGGGAGGGAAGAACATTAGCATAGCTTCTAGTCATTGATGTAGATTTTTGCTAACTACTTTTTGGTAATTTTTCTTTGGCAGATTGCATACAAAACACAAACTTTTTTTTCGGGGTAACTGATTATCTCTTTCACTACAGTTTCAGACATTTTCTCTTATTATTATAAAAGTAAATAATGTCTAAATTCATGGATAATGTCTCATTTCATAAACTGATATAATGATAACTAAAAAAGCTAGTATTTTATTTTTACCTCCATTTTTTAATAATTTCACCTCATGCAAGACAATAAAGCCACTAAGACACAAGGATTTACTGAGTATGAGAGAATATGAAAAAAACATTATTAAGGAGAGAGAACAATAAAAGAAAAGGAATTAAGAAGACAGAAAATAACAATTGATATTGCATTTAAATTTTTGAAGGTCAAAGTTGACTGGAAAGCAAGAAGCCAGAAGAGAGCCAGATATTGTTATCATACTTGTTTGATTTTTAGCATGTCCAATTTGTAGTGTTGCAGACATTTTCTCTTATTTTTAATATTTACCTGTAATTTTTCATAATTTTTTTTTTTACTGTCATATGCAATATATAAGGCTGAATGGAAAAAAATTAATATCTGAATAATTTGATAGTTCTGATGGTATTTTATATTTTCAGATAATGTTCATATCTGAAGAATTTCTTGAAGACCTTGGTGATATTTTATGTGATTGTAGTAACCCTGATGCCCAAAGACATTCAGCTGCTGTCATCAGGAATCTTGTTGATGGAGACTTCATGCAGGTGAAATTTTTTTAAACTAATGTTCACCCAATACCAAGGTAGTGGGTTTCTATATGTTGTTGTATGAATGTAAGGAAGGAAAAGAATTTCATGGAGCTCTGCAGAAAGATAACTGTTAACAGTAGACTTGAAGAGGTTAACATTATAGTGATTGGGGAAACATCCTACTGAGAGTCTGTTCCACAAAGCAACAGTTTGTGGGGAGATGTCAAAATGGAACTTACTCCTTACTATAGGAATACAAAGGGAATGGGGATGATTCACACTTGTGTATGAAGTGCATTCACAAAATTTTCTGACCCTTGGGCATAAAAATTAATTTTTACATTTCACAAATTTTATTTAAACATCAAAATATTCCCCTTGTGAGTTCCACATATTTATCCCAGCGCTGGTAACATCTCTGGAACACCATAGACCTATGTCATCACTTTTCTTGTAATTTCAGATTGGGGAAGAGCCAGAAGTTACATGATGCCAAGTCAGGATTAGTTGGGTGCCTGTTGAACAATTGTTGCATTCTTCTTGACCAGAAAAGCTTGGATTATGTGGGCGGAATGAGTGTCTGCATTGTCATGAAGTTGACAATTCTTTGCTGCCCACATGTCTGCCGGCTTTCAACACACAGCATCACAAAGGCAACATGTAGTATTCCTTATTGATTATTTGGCCTTCATGATGCACAATACCATGGGAGTCAAAGAAACAGGTCAACATTACCTTTATATTGTTATGAAACTGTCATGATTTACTGGGCCTTAATGATGATGGATGCTTCCATTGAGAGGACTAGAATCTGGTTTTCAGGTTGTAACCATAAATTCAGTGATAATGGTCTTCATAAAATTTGGATCATGGTCTGCACAGTCCAGCATGTCTTTAGTGATTTCCATGTGAAATTGTTTCTGCTACTCTGCCAGCACATGGGGGCAAATTTCACCAACACTCACCACATGCTTATTCCCACCTTGTGAGCAATTTCCTGGATTGTTGCATAATGATTTTTCCATGACTATTTGCAAATTGACTCCTTGTTTTAGTTTGTTGATGGTCTACCTGTGTGTCCCTTGATCTCAACTGAGGTGCAGTCATGTTTGAATTGATTTTACCACTCATTGATCTGAGTTTTGCTGAATCTTCTGGATGGTTTGAGCTTTAGTATCACCAAGTACATTTCTTAGTTCCACCAGTTCTAACCTTCACAGCCAGGACCTGCCATGCCACATATTGTAGCAAATCACCCACATTCCCTCTGTATTCAATTGGTGAAAAGTTAGTTGCACTTGAATAGCTTCTTCCTACAAACCACTACTGACCCTCAAGAGGATGTTTCCCTGATCACTATAATCTTAACATGTTCAAATTAATATGATAACCTGTTAATCATTATCTCCCCCTCTCATCTGTATAAACTGCCTCTTAACATAACCTTGTACTGCGAGTGTCCCCCTCCCCCAGGCTTTGTACAGGGTGAACCTTAAAAAAACATTATTCAGAATTAGAATTTTAGGGAAAATTCTTTTTTCCTTAAATAAAATTCTAAGTGGTTTCTTATTATCTCTCTTTCCATTGAAAAGGTTTAGGTGGGGGGACATCAAATGGTAGTAGAGACATTGAAAGTCTGCTTATGTTTATAGGAGAAACAATGATCACCACCCCCTTAGAATTAAGTTAGGATAATAGAGAACAATACTGGAGGAAATATCAATTGAATTGATCTGTTGTTACACAGTTTTGAGTCTGAAAACCTCATCAGTAGACCTAGTATAGATATAAACACCATCTGGAAGCCTTTGGTTTAGAAACAAAGAGTACTCAAACACTGAATACAGACATTAAGTTGAATCCTCCAAAGTTACTCCAGTGGATTATCTAAGAGACACATAGCCTAGCAGATTAAAATGATGTTTAAAACATATCTGGTGACACACATGTGAATAGACTAGAGAGCATTAATATAAGATTAGGTAGCTCCAAAGATTCACTGAAAAATGAGCAGACATAATGTAAAAAAACCCAAACTTAATAAAAACAAAGTTTTATCCTCAAAATCTTTGTTATTATTAAGAGGAAAGACTAAAGGATTGTTTAATTATTATGGTGGAGTAATGGATAGTAGCTCGGATTGAGGAATTGGAGAGCAAAGTTCAAATTTCAGTCAAATCCATTACATTCACTTACGTGCTGATACCCTTGGGAAAAGTATGAATCCTCTTCTTCTCCCTCCAGCTATGGGTTAATAGTAAAACAGACTGGGTTCTATAGCCTTGGATGGCAACTGGTCTACCACAGAAAGAAATGGCAACCTACTGCAGGAAAAAATCTACCTCATCAGTTATGTATCGAAAAATACATGATCACCTAAGCATGTAGCACGCATGGCACATAACTGACTGACTGATTGTTTAATCCTTTTTAGAACCTTCAAAAATTTGCTTTGGTTAGTCATCAAGTGACTATAAATTAGTATTAGAAATTTCAGCATTATTTTTGTAGTGTAAAATACATTGATTTGGAAATCCTTGCAAAAATCAAATAATTGACAGATTTTAAATTTCAGGACTCATTCACAAATGAATTAAATTATTTTAGAATTGTTTCTGTTTTAGAAAATCTTGGTAAAAATATTTTTTGACATGTTACTCCCCATTTATTTAATATTATAAAATTTCAAGAAAATCTATTTTGTGTGTCAATGTTTATATTAGTTCTAATCAGAACTACTTGGAGAACTTAAAACATCTAATTCTTTTTGTAAAACAAAACCCCCAGTTACAAAAAATCTGCTCTGAATTGTAAAATAAAAAATGCAATAAAACTAAGACATTATTTAATTAGAAAAGCTTTTAATTGCTTTTATGAATAAGATATATTATGTCTTTTTTTTATGAATAATAGATATTTGCTAGAATTGTTTTCATTTTTTTAAATTTTAATTTGAATAATTTATAAAGTTTTAAATCTTTTAAAATTCTGTATTAATTTATGCTGATTAGGTGATATTGTTATTAAGAAAAACTATATTTATGAATCTGTTGTAGAGTGGTTTCACAGTGGAGGCTTGTATTTCACTAAGTCGGTCCTTAAATAGGTTTGACGTACAAAACGTTAGGAACTTGAAATAATAGTTAATGACGCAGCAATCTAGTTGTGGTGGCTGATACTTTAATGTCTGACATCGACTGACTGACCAACTCACTGAGCTACTGACTTAGCCGACTGCTACTACTACTACTTATTATAGATGGGAGAGTCTATTAACTATAGAATAGGTGTGTTCCAGTATAACAGAATCATAAATGGAAAAGCTTACTAAAATTCAGCAACCCAATTATTTTGTAAATACGGAGGTTGATACACAACATTATCAGAAAATAAGAACTATAACTGTAGTAAATTTAAAGCCAAGTTACCTAAAATTCAATAAAACAGATTGCAGAGAATATTTTCCTAAATTTTTATGATTACTGAGTATTTAAATATTATAAAATAAAGGTGCTCATATTATATTTTTGTCAAGTAAATTTACAGATATGTCTACCATAGAAAAAATTAGTTAAATTTCTGCCTGTCAATAGACATGTCAGTCTTCCAACACCTCATAAAACACCTACATCCATGTTAAAAATATCATTTCTGCCATATTTTAAACTAAAAGTAATATCTTTTTAAAATTAGATTAATTAAACTTCAAACCAGCTAATATTCCTCAAATAAAATTTGAGAAAAGTATATTTTAATTTTGAAAAGATTTTTTAATGAAGAGAATTACATTTTGCTGACAGATGGCTAAAAATGGCTAAAATCAGGGATTTAAAAAACAAAGAACTCCTTTCAATCAATTTAAATTTGTTTTGAAATACACCAAATTATTTTGCTTATTGTAAATATTAAAGTTAAATTTCTAATAGCTTGAAATTAAGTATTGATATACGATATATATGAGTATTTATATAAGATATATATGAGATATATATTTAAGATATAAGATATATATAAATATTGGCACAAGATATATAAAATATTTGTAAGATATATGTAAGTACTGATATAATATATATATATATATATATATATATATATATATATACAAAAAACTTTGAAAAATCAATAACATTTTTGCTTTTGTATATAAATACTTGTCACAAAAAAAAAAGTCCATCAGTTTTCCTTTTGTCTTTTTTCATATATATAAAAGTATAAGATATATATAAGATTTATATATAGGTATTGATATAAGATACCTTGTAAGCATTGGAACCAGGATGAGAACAGTTTATTTTTTTCTGACCATTTATGGGTCAAATTCCAAGAAGATCACCCAGTACAACAGACACTTGAAGAAAGTCGGGGGTACAAAGGCTGAAACATTGTATCACAATCAAAATGAGTATATTAGTTCAAATGGAAATGCATATAATAATAATAATAATAATAATTCTTCCTTTCCCAAATTTTGGCATAAAGAATTTCTTATTAGAAAAAATTAAACTGAAGTGAAAAATTTAAAATATGAAATCAAAATGACAAATAATCATTTCAAAATGATAATTTGAAAAAAGGAAACAGCAAAACTTTTTACAATTTTATTCAATGGAAAGTCAATTTTGCTACATCTTTACAAAGCAGAAACTGAATGCCAAATTTACTGAAGTGTAAAATTTATGTCTTTATAGATTATCAAACGTAGAAGCTTGGAAATGCTAACTTCAATCATCATGAAGACAGAATGCAGAGCAGAAGTTCTTGGTGAAGTTACAGGTGCCATATCAATTCTTGCTGCTGAAGGTAAGTATAATACTATTCAATTCATGTGGCAAGTTTGAAGGTCAATATAAACACTTTTTGAATATTAGAATAAATGCAATATGTCTTAAGAAAGGGATGAATTTTTTTTATTTATTAATCTGACAGATTTTATTACTGAAACAGTATTTTTGTGGATACTTGTATTTGAGTAGATGTTCTGTCCATTTATTAAACAGTATATTTATTTTTGTCTAGTTCTATTAGTCTTAGACTCTGCTACCCAACTCAGGGATTGAACTCACAATTACTATGCCACTAAATTCATGAAACAATGCTTTCTTAATGGAATTATCATTATTTACAGTTAGAATAATATTCTTATCTTTTTCCTTTTTTCAGATGATATTAAACATTGTTTGGCAGAGATAGAAGATGGCAAAGTGTTTGAGAAATTAGTGAAAATGGCCTCACAAAATCCAAATCCTGAAGTCCAGTATAACTGTGCTGGGACACTCTGTCAAATACTCATTAATGGTAAGTAAATTCTTTTTCCTAAACTCCTGTAAAATCTGCTGTCCCAATTCTATAAGAATTTCAAGAAAAAAAGGTTTAAAAAAAATAATGAACATTTTTGTATGTAACTCCATGGTTTTATCTTTCTGAATTTCTGGAATGCAGTACTTACAGTCATACTAATATCTTCATCTTTATTGTTATTTTAATGAAAGAGAGTTATGGAAGAAAGGTTTATTTTCCCATTTATATTTCCCCCATTATGAGCATTATTATATCTATGATATAATAACATTGTAGTTCACAGACAGAATGGAATGGCTGAAAGGAAAAGGAATAACAAACATGCTTTGTTCTCAGAGAGACTTTTATACCACTAAAACATAAATAAAACTATATATACATATATACACATGTCCCGTGTGGAGAATAATTCTACACAGCGAGCAGAAAAAAGAAAAGGTCTTACATATGTGGAGATACTCCTGTGTGTGGAGAAGCCATGTTTAGGACCCCAGATTCAAACAGGCTGGATTCATCTATGTCCCAGGCAAGGACATATTTTATGAATAGGAAACATTGAGTTTTGGGTTTAGAAAGAAAGAAAGAAAGAAAGAAAGAAAGAAAGAAAGAGATAAGGGTTTTAAAGGAAAACGCAAACGCCTTATTTTAATTTGAATTCTTTTTATTTTTGTTTATATATATTTTTTATATATTTTATTTTTATCAGGACTCACTACAGAATTATTGTAAATGCTTTTTAAGCACAATGGAATTAAAAATCTTAAGAATCAAATTTGAATGAAAATTTCCTTAAAATTATTGTATTTCTCAGCACTGGGGATGCTATTTTATCCTCCAAAATAAGTTCTGAAAATTGAATCTACCCCTTACTACCTCAAGGTTATTTTTTTTTTTTTAAAGTTTACCTAATTTCATATTTTTCATTTTTTATGTTTAGCAAAATGTTTTATTTCAAAACCTGGGTAGGGGTGTCCTTGATGCAGGGAAATGTTTCCTATGAATATCAATTGTACATAAATATTTGTAGTTTTACATTTATATGTACATTAAGTTTAAATTTAGAACTCAACTCTGGATAAAAATAAGTAAGTAAAAAGAAAGCACACCATTTTATAATAGTTAATTTTTTTTTTATGGTTTCTCTTCAGGACATAGATGATCAGGACTTCTAACAGATTCTTTATTATCTGCAAATTGTGTGTTTTGGGGAAAGATAGTGGAATGGTTTCCTGCTGTTTTCTTCACAGTTTGGAATTCAGAGATTTTCATTCTCTTCATTTTCCATTCAAGGCTAGAGAGCTTAGTCTACCTTCCAATTTAAACCATCAGAAAGGAGGAGAAGAGATTGTGAGAAAAGATGGATGCATGCTTTATCCAAAAGCCTTTGTGTGACAGTGAATACCAGTGATTACTCCAGAATTTGAACTCAGATTCTCTTTCTATAGCAATAGCTTGCTGTAGTTGTAAAGAAAAGAAAAAGAAGAAAAAACTGTCAGCTTATAGTAGCAACAAATGTCTGCAATAGATTTCTTCTGTCTCTTGACCGCAACACTTGTAGCCAAATCACAGTTCAAATGATAGCCCATCGTAACAGTCCAATAGGCAACGTAGAAATGACAAAATGGGGTCACACATCCAATCTTCACTTCTCACCAGCAAAAACGTGTGTTCGTCCACCAAGTTCAGAAAATCTAATCCCCACATAAGCGAAAAACAACGGCTTTTGTTCACCGAGAGATCTTTCTGATTGGTCACACCATTCAGGGGAGGAAAGAACATTAGCATAGATTCTAGTCCTTAAAGTAGATTTTTGCGAACTACTTTTTGGTAATTTTTCTTCAGCAGATTGCACACAAAACACAAACTCTTTTTCAAGGTAGGTGATTATCTCTTTCACTACGCTTGCACATCCTAAAAAATCAGTAGAAAATTTACAGACATCAGATATTAGTATTGAATCATGGAACTTTTGGAACTCAAATCTAACACTCCCCCAAATGAGCTATTTCAGTTTCTTAAAAGTAAAATTCCCTGTGATAAATTCAAAATAATATGTTTGTAGGTTATCAATATGTTATTAACCAACAATAGCAGTTATTAATTTTGTTAATATTTTGATGTTTTGTAAATGGAAACTGGAATATTAGCCAAATCATTTATTCTTGTGCCTATATTCTTCGGTGTTACTTTTGCTTGTAAGCAAAGAAAACCTACAGTTATCTCCCTGTTATAACTCACTCCCAGCACTTATAATATTATGTCTTGCTTAGGCATTTGCCATGACATCACTAGAATTCTCTCTGACAAACCAACTCCAATGGACTTCTCCCGACTCACTTTGAGTTCTTTATTTAAGCCATCTTGCCTAGTTCATTTGTATTACCAGGGGGCGTCTTATTTACTCCACAACATCCCCCCGCTTTTGAGATTCTTTTTATTAGTAAATATTTTATCTTATTTCTTAGTATTTACCCACTTCTTTTTCGTTCACTAACATACTGAACTTTGTATTTCTTTCGTTTTGGATCAACCTCTAGATTTTCTGTACGTTTCCTTTTTCTGGTAATCATACTTGTATGCTCAACAAATTCTTGGGATTTTTTTCACTGCGAATATTGCTAATGCCTCTTTTTTGATCTGGCTGTAGTTTTTTTCTGCCAGTAGTAGCAAATGTGAAGTATGTGTGATGGCTTTCATGTTACTGCTCCTACACCATAGTCACTAGCATCTGAAGCCAATATGATTTCTGCTTTTGGATTGTAGCACACTAATGATAAGTCTATGTTAGTATTTTCTTGATTTCTTTAAATACATTCTGATACTTATTAGTTCAGTTCCATTTTACACCATTTTTAAGCAAATTGTTCCATGAAGCTCTCAAATTCTGTATATTAGGTATATAGATTTGATAATATTAATATTAGATAATATAGATTTGATAATAGTAATATTAGGTAATATAGATTTGATAATAGTGTACTTGTGACCCTGTTGCTGCATGCTTTCCTGAATGCCACATTTACTTTGGTCCATGTCCATCTCTAGCTGGCCTACTCTGCACCTATCCTACAACCCCCATATTGTGTTTCAGTATCTACAGGAATATCGGTGAAGACCTATTGAAGATCAGGCTTGACCCCTTTCTGTCCTGGCTATCCATGTGAAAGACTAAAGTCACCGGTGTTGCCAGTAACCTTAATTAACTTCAACAACACTCATTAACAAGTGTAAAAATAACAACCTTTATTTATGGTACTATTATTAAAATCATGAATGCATAAACAAAAGGGAAGTTTCCCTGTATAAGGAATTCTTGAGCTCGGAGGAATAGGTTGATGGTGGTTGTAGTTATGTCTAAACAGCTCAGAGTCATTCAACTATTTAAATGAAGGCAGCTTATCAAGGAAGTTTAAAAAAGTAGTGTAGAGAATAGGTGTTTAGCTGAATGAGACACCATGGTCATCCAGCAGGGAGAGGGGATTGTGTTGGTCTGCTAGTGTCGAGACCAGTTTGATCTTACTTCTGCTCTTTCAGTGACTGCTTTTAGGAGGGGGGAGGGGGAAACTCCAACTGCACTGCTCTGATTGGCTAGCCAATAATAATGCTTGACTAATGGTATTGGCTAGCCAATAATAATGATTGACCAATTGTCTTGTGTCATACACCTTGAAGGAGAAGAAAGAAAGCCCCCAAGAACACAATATGATTGGTGGTCTGATCAAAATAATGGCCTTGAGTCATAAGTATCAGAAATGGAGATGAGAAGCTCCATCCCAGCCTTTCTTTCACTGGCAGGTCAATCAAAATTGTGGCCTTGTGTTGCTCATATCCACCTTCAGTGGAACATTTTCCATGTTCTGGAATCTCACCCTCATTTGACCTGATTATCACAGGTGTCATTGTCACCTCTATCTGAATGTGTGTTATATCCCTGATTAAAACAAACCTGACTAAGATTTTCTTTGTGCGACCACAGCCCACTAATATATACAGCGCCATATATCACATTTCTAACAGGCCTAATTGGTTTATAGTCAATTTATATCTGTTTTATCTAAAACATGTTAAAACCATCCAGAAATACACAAACAAGTTGGATTTTTTCTCTTTTTAAACAGAAAAGTAATAATAAAAGATTGTTAAGCAAACAAAAAAGTTATTAAAGAATTAAGCAGTAATACAAAACAAGTAAAAAAACTTACCAACAGTTTTTCTATAAATCAATTTTCTTTTGACTGTTGCTTTTTTAAAACATTCTACAATATTTTTTGAACTTCATCCATGAAAACTTTTATTTGTTGTAAAATATATTCACAACAATTTTTGCTGCTAAGTGAATTCCTTTTTCAGTATGTTTACAAGTAAAAACATATTTTGGGGAATAAGTTTCCAACATTCTTTCAGCAGGCTCTCTTGTAGTGGATTCATTATGTTTTACAATAAATTTATCTGCATAGTCAAGTCAATTTCTCCAGAAGTAATTTGTAGGCTTTTTGAAATGTGTAGCACAGTAGTAAGGCATAACGTATTAGTTCTGTAGAAAATGAAGGACGACTTCTTGGTTGGTAATAACTTTTTTGTAATTATTTTAGAATTGTGTATGGCTGTTCTTCCACCACGTTTTGTATGTAGTTTGGAAAATTTTCTAACGTGCTAAATCTTGTGAGTTTAGCATTATGTCAATGTATAAACCATTGTGGTAACAGTATAGTGGTTCCATCACACTGGAGCTGGACATGAAGGTTTCAGTCAATGTGAATACATTCTTTTATAGATGAAAAATGTGTTTCAGGGTCAAAGACTATTCTATAAATTAAAATATAATCTTCCTATACTATATTCAAAACTGTTAGGATAACACTTTGCTTCTTCCAACTAAGTAAAATCCTTTATCATATTAACTGAAATAAAATCATGTAATTCATCAGTTTGGACCAGTTGTTATTTTGGAGGCTTTCTGAATTCACACTTGTATTTGGTAAAAGAGAAGGTTTTCTTATTTTTTTTGAATGTATTGTAGGTATTGGAAATTTTTGTAGGAAGCCAATCAATATGATTAATGAATTTTATCCATTTTTCTACAAGGTTGGATTTTCCAAAAGGAAAAGAAAATGTTGATACTTTTTCACTGTTAGTAACATATCCATTAGAACAGACAAATGCAACACATTTGTTAACCATTTTTGTTAAACAAAATATCACAACAAACTTTATAATTTATTTTTTAAATGCAATGGACTATGAGGTAGAAAATTTACCAAATAGCATTCATTTGCAAAACAGGCTGTATACAATTGAAAATCATAAAAGTGAGGTAACTCACAGCCATTTATAATTTGTGGATTAGTAAAAAAAAAAAAAAGGTGTAAATATACATTCTAGTGTTGAAAACATGTCTAGGGAATTGAAATAATGTCTGATAAATTCTACGTAATTGTACGTTGTTAATTTACATTTTAAGAATTCAAGTTTTTTCCCTTTTAGATTTGCCATTTTCTAAGCAACCATTCACATTTTTTTTGTTTACATTACGTTGACCAGTTTGTTATGTGACATGTTCCCCCCCCCTATATAATACTAATTGCGCCACCATGGCATCACTAATTTCAACAAATAACTCATTTATCAAATGAAAACAACCTAAGACTGTACCTAATGACTAATACCACCCAAGCTTATAATTTCTTCACTCAAAGCACTATATTCATGACACAATATATATATGACACAAACCAGAAAATTCATGGCATCACATTGTTTTAACATGAAAAATATTTTTCATTCTTTAGAAATATAAATTAGATCACCAGTCATGGGGTCATATACTAGTCCCAGAAATGCTTGTAACCAAGTAACATTTGTTGAAGGAGGCATATTCTTAATTGCACTTGCCCTCAAAAGATCTGGGTGACAACCATTTTTGTCAATGATTTGTCATAGGTTCTTGATTTTAGGCAGAAACAATTCATACTTTTCATCACTGAGTTTAAACCTGTACAGTTTTTTTCAAAAACTCTCTTTACATACCCAATATGTTGTTCCTTAGATACAGTTTTAATTAATAAATAATCCAGATAAGTAACTGCAAAATCACAATCTGCAAACATAGTATCCATAGCTTGTTGAAATATAGCTGGAGCTACTTTTATCCCAAAAGGAAGTTGGTTGAATTTATACAATCCTTGATGCAATGCTGCGAATGGTACACTATATTTCAGTTTAAACACTGGTGTTGACCCTTTTTTCACTTGAAATTTCACTTTGACTTTGGAGTTGGACTACTGACTTTACATGTGTTGTGTTACAGATGGTGTACATATTAAACTTTTGTGAAATCGGTTATAAAATCTACATCCCTTTGAATATCTTGTTCAAATTTTGATAAATAAATCTTTTATTGTTCGATATGAAGCCTATTTAATTTTGTTTGCCTGGGACATGTAGTTACTTAGATATTCACATTTTAAATGATGTCAATTTTTTTGGATACCCCAACTCTATCACGGTTACAATTGAAAAGAATTTATCTAAGCTTAACATAAAATTTGTTAAAATTACTTCTAAAACAATAAAAGACTTAAATAATACAAAACAAAATGATAAGCTAAAACTTGAAGGAGGAATTTACTCTGTCACCTCTTAATGATTGCCACAAGGAATCCATAGGAGAAAGCTCAAGGAATTTGTATAAAATATTATATGAACACAAAAGAGATCTTTTACAAAACAACACACTCACTGAATTAGTGACTGATTGTAATGAGCATGACCATAATTTCAACTTAAAAGTTACCTCTTTAATTAAAGGAGAAAGCAATTTACTAATGCGAAAGTGTATAGAAAGTACCTTAATCACTAATTATCCACAGTAAATTTGCTTCCAGTTTCTTACATTTTACCTTTCTTGGCAGATCTTTTATTATCACTATTATTATTATATGGGACACTTAATGAAACAATGTTCACTAATTTTGAATGTAAAACCCAGCAGTTTAAGCTAATGTCCACAATCTCCTTTTCTTCTTCATTTTTTTTTTCAGAAGTTCTGCCTGATTATCAGAAAGAAGAAAATTTGCATGACATCATTGCATACCTTAATGCATTTCTCAAATCCACCGATCCAAATTTTGTTCACCTTTCTCTTTGGACAATCAGAAATCTTTTAACAGGTGAAGCCTCCATTTTTCTTTTCTTTCTTATTTTTATCAGGTGATATAGATTTTTTAATTTTAGGTAAAGTTTTGGGTAGTGTAAAATTGATATTTTTTGACAAAAATGATTTTTCTGGTGTAGTTTGTCTGTAAAAAGAAATGTTTTTCCTTGAGTCCGGACTAATTTTCAAGAAAATAAATTTTCTAAAAAGAAAAGTGGCTCAAAAAGTGGAGGTTCAATTTACATTGTATATATAACGCTTGGATTTGTATCCCATATTATGATGGTGAATGCTAAATTTATATTGGAAATATAATAATTACCATGAACCCTCACTTTGTGTCCACTTGTATGTAGATATGTATGTAATTTTGAAGAAAAAAACAGTTTATTTTATTGCATCAACAAAATTTGGTTGGGGGTTTAGGTTAAGGCTTTTATAACATCATGAATTGAGTATACAGAGAAAAATACAACTCCATATCTCATAAACCAACCATTACTGGACAATACATCAACTTCAATTTACACTGCCCATATGTCTGATACCTGTAAACACCATGCAAAACTCAAACACATACCAACAGGAAACACAACTACCCTGCAAACATCTTAGTACAAGAGGCATTCAAAATGGAAAGAGAATGTTATATGAAAATTATGTAAATCTTTTGTTATTTCTTTGCAGCAATGTAAACTTGGACTTCAGTATGAACTGAAAGAATTTCAAGTTAACAGATTGAAGTTTACACCATATTAAAAATAATTTCAGAATTGTATGAATGGGAATGGTAATATTAAAGGTAATATTAGCCGTTTCCCTACAAGGAAATATTTGGCATTCATTGACTGAGCAGCCATTGTGGCTGTTGACTGAAATTTCGAAAATCTTTTCAGTATTCTCTCATAGGCATCACTTTTTTTTGGTTACCTCATCAAACAACTTGCAAGAGAAATTTTCTTTTCTAATTATGTAGGTTAATTTTAAAATTAGCATCAAATAGATCAGTGGTTCTTAAGCTTTTTTGAGTCAAAGACCCCTTGAATGACAGACCCCTTATAAGAACTAGCCCTTCATAGACAGATAGACAGCCAAGCAGATACTCACAGTCTAATTAGTTCTTCACAACACTTGTACATACATTTCTCCATACTGCACCCCCATACAGACACTGCAAACACATCAGCCTGCCACATTTGAAATAAATTGTGGTCAATGAATCATCACCAGTATAAGAGATGATAATCAAGCCATGATAAACCATGGAAAATGAGAATTATCACTTGCTCTTATGGAGTGGCAAAAGATGATGGTCGTGCAGAGAATGATGACACAATTTTAAATGGTAAACATGGACCCAACAACAAGTTAAGAGATGCCTAGTGGTCAGCACTGAACCAAGGATTGAACACACGACCAGCAGATGGCAGCAAAACTTGATTAACCTATGCCTATATCCACTATACCACCATCCAGAAAGGCATCTGTGGCATGTTTTTGGGAGATGTCAAATATATTGAAAATGCACTAATTTTGAAATATTCCCAGTAAATTTATATCCATGATCATGCAACATGTCTCCTTTCCTGATACACTACAATTACAAAGTGGGATATTTAAAAACAATAGCAAGAAAGATAAAATAAAAACAAAATTGAAGAGTTACCACAATAAAAATTTTACTGGTTCAAAGTCACTAACTAGTATGATGTCCACTCCATTGGTTCGTTTGTGTCCTTTAAAACAGTAATTTAACCTTGCTAACCAGACACTTCCTCTGTAACTAAATGGTATAGCACATCAGGCTATATGACGGTTCTGTGTAGGATACAGATTCTATTCCTGTTAGAGGACACATATTTTCTTTGAGATTTCTAGGACATTCAGGCAAGTAAATGTTGTTAATACTGTTTATTATAAACAGAGCATTTACTTAAATATTTGTAGCTATAAAAATAATGTATAAACAAAAAATATATTGAAATAATTTTCAGACTTAGTCTATTTCATAATATATTATGTCATTTGTTTATGTCAGGATGTGCTTTGAGCAGATATGAGCATTTAAGAGAAATCATAGGAAGTTTTTAGTCTAAAAACAGTAATTTAACCTTGCTAACCAGACGCTTCTCTGCAGCTAAATAGTATAGCACATCAGACTGTATGATGGTTCTGTGGAAGATACAGGTTTGATTCCTGTTGGAGGACACATATTTTCTTTGAGATTTCTTGGATATTCAGTCTGGTAAATTTTGTTAATACTATTTATTATAAACAGAGCATTTTAAATATTTGTAAATAAAATGTATAAAAATATATATATAAATAATATATATATATATATATATATATATTGAGATGTTTCATTGAATAATTTAGACTAGTTTTGTCTACTAATTTTCAATTTGTATCCTTTCATATTCACAAACTTTTTGATGTAATTTTTGAAGGAAGAGAGAAAAATATATATATACAAGTTTCACTGATGATGACTGACTAGGCAATGCAATTAAGCTTTTCATTAAATTCTTCTTGCATTTGTACAAATATTTTCTTTTCTGGACATAAAATGTGTAAAAACTGTCCAAATGTTCTATGCATCCAAGCACTTTTGGCTAATCTATTAGTCAGTTTTCTTTTTAACTGAATATATATATATATATAATTTTTCCAATGGCCAATCACAACTAAGAGTTTCATGCATCTTCACAATCATCAGGCAGTTAGAAACAGTTATGTGTGAACATTGTCACTTTGTATGCCTCAGGCAAGTCCAAGATGTTACAAGTATAGTTTGTGTGAAGAGGTAAAAATGCCCATCTGCCCAAGATGAAAAATGCCATAAATTCACAATTATTTTGAGAGAGAAAAATAAATATAAAAAAATGTTCACAGGTGTAGCAAGAAGAGTACTCGATGGGGAACAGTAGGACATCGGTACAACTATTTCTGACCACCTGATGATTGTGTTAAGATGTATGAAACTGTTAGCTGTGGTCTACCACTGTTCATATACCCCCCCCACACACATATATACATATACACACCCACACATTTATATACATAAAAACAAATACACACACACACATACATAGATATCTATATACATATAGACACACATATATATATCTATATAGATACACACACAAACACACATGCATATATATCTATATGCATACACAATTGCACCCCCCACATGCATACATCTATAGACACTCATATATATTTATACACATACACACATATCTATACACACACATGTATAAGCGATTTAATTGATGAAACCATTATTAGTGAGAAGTTCCTTCTAGCAAGGAAACACACAATGTAGGATTATTTTCAATTTTGTCATTCAATTGGACAATTTTTGGATTAAAAATTTTGTCTCATTATCATTACAAGACATTTTAGGAAGCAAATAAAGAAGACAGTCGTAAGTATAATACTTTATAGCAAGAAAAGCAAAGTAGATGCCTGTGGTTCTTGCAAGTTAATATTTCTATCCTATATTTCCACTGATATGAAGAAACAACAGCTATAAAAAAAGCAAACCTTTAAAAACCATCATTAATGAAATATAGAACATTTTTTCCTTTCTCTTTTTTCAGATGAAATATTTTTCAATACATTCAAAGAACATGAAATTGAAACTGTCATCCATGAAACATTGGATTCGGATATTGATTTGGAAACTGGCACTATTTCCAAACTTGCCCATCGCATCCTCAAACATTTAGCTGAAGATGACATCCTGTCAATCCCACCTTAGCAGAAGGATCAGGTGTTGTGAAAAACTTGACCAAATTCTCTAATTATCAAAGTTTTTTTTCAGTTGGACACAGAGTTACCTCAAATATTTGTTGGCTACTGGCATCTCAATCTGATATGTAAATTCATTAATTAATATATTCATTTTATCTCATTCTTTGTAGTGTCAGATTTAGTTGATCGGTAAATGAAAGTTCAAAGGTCTTATCTTCTGATTTCAAGTTTCACAGATACACTACTCATCAGGGTCTGATAAATTGGTACAGGTGTACAATAGGCACTATAACCAGAAATAATTTTTTTTTTTTTAAATTCTTTTTATATTACTATAAATTAAGAACTACAGACCATGAATATCAAGCTTTTGTTATTAAACTTTATAAAAGTTAATAGGTTGGTACAGTTTGCTATGTATTCATTGTAAATTGATCTTTTCTTCTTTATGCGCGGTGTCCCTTCAGGAAATAGGCGATCATGGCCCTACACATCTTCCTGACCCTTGTAGTTCTTAATAAAGTTTGTCTTTTTGCTATTTGTTGGTTCCAACTCCATAATGGGAATGTGTATTTATTGTATTTTTCATACAATTTTGGCACAAGGCCAAAAGGGGAAGTTGGGTGAGGCTGGTCTACACTAACTATCCTAAACCTAGCTAATTAGATCCACAACCCATTCATCCATTATAATTTACTCATTCACAAAAACTTTATATAGATAAAGCTCTTCATAATGTGTGAGCTGTACTTGTGAGTACAATATTTGTATTTCTTTAAGGCATGGACAACCAGGAATCCCTTCAATGAGTCTATCGGAACCTTTTCCAATCGATCTAAGGGCTCCAGCAACAACTGGAATTATTGATGTCCTCATGTGTCACATTTTTTAGATTTCTACTTCAAGATCCTTGTATTTTGATAGTTTTTGAAGATCTTCAAAGATACATTACAATCTGCAGGGACCACCATGTCAATAACAAAGCACATTCTGTTCTTGCAGTCTTTGATCTTTGATGTCTGAGTGATTAGCTTTGATTGTTCTGTCTCTGTGTATTTTAAAGTCCTTTAAAAATGTTACAGGTCTTATCTCTTTAACCGAGTCTGGGTGATGTTCATACCAGTTTCTTGCAGTTTCCTTCCCGTAAAACTTGCATATTTTCTAGTGCAGATATTGGCCCACTCTGTCATGCCAAGTTTTATATTCAATGAGTGCTAACACTGTACAACCTGATACAAGATGGTCAATTGTTTCTGGATATTTATTACAGAATCTGCATTTTTCAGTAAGTGTGGATGGTAATTTCTAGTTAGCAAACATTAGTCCTGTGTAGCAAGAAACCTTTGGTTTCAGCTTTTAACCCTGCACTACATAACCACGGATGTATTAATTTAACATGACATCTACTTTTAATTAAGATATCAATAAATTTAAGAAAATAAATGTAACAGTTTACAATCAAAATTTGTATAGATTTTATGACATGCTATTGTACTTTTGATCAGGAGTAGAAGTTTAACTCTTGTTTCCTATTTAGTATTGGGTTTCCAGTTCATTATAAAGTCTTTTCCTTCTGTTTTATTTTAAGTGGCCCATTGTGTTTTGTTGGGGTTATCACCATGCTTGTGGTAACTCTTACTCTATAACCCTCTACTTTAAGTGGCTCTTGGGCCTTTTACAGGGTGAACATAACTGTAAAAAAAAACAAAGCAAAATAACATTTAATCTTTATTTAAAAAAACTATTATGTAAATTTTTGTAACTTTGTATAATATTTATGCATTACACCCTAATAATTCAGTAAAAATTTCATTGCTAATCATGCATTACTTTTTAAGTAATACACATATTTATGACTTTGTTGTTTCCGTTCGTTATATTATGGCGTCTACTGTATATATATATATATATATATATATATATGAATAAAGACAAAAGGAAAACTTATTTTAGCCGACATGTTTAATCCTTTGATGGACTTTATCATGGCAAATATGAAGATTTTATTTTGCAACAAATATTTATAAAGAAAAGTAAAATGCTGTTACTTTTTCAAAATATTTTAATTTAAGAGACATTCATAAATACGGGGTGCGATGGATAAATTGTCGTCGAAATTATGCTAAAAATGAAAATAACACTGACATCTCATTTTAACAGATATATTTACCAGAATATCTTGAAATACTAAAGAGTACAATTATTCAATAAAATTGCCATTAGCTTCAGCAATGGCCTCCAGATGACTTCAGAATCTCCTGCAACTCTTCTGGACGGTCCCCTTGTTTAAATTGGTGGATGCTGCCATATTCCTTGCCTTCAGTTCATCCTTGGTGTTACAAGTTTTGTTGGTCCCTTACACAACTGTTTCCCAAACATAATAATTAAGGGGGTTGCAGTCTGAGTAGTTAGGTGACCAGCACCTGGTATTCCCAAACAGTCATCCATCTAAGTACTGACCAGGATTGATGTTGCTTAACTTCAGTGATCACACAGGAACTGATGTTGCAACATGATGTGTCTGTCAGCCTTGTCAATTTTGTGTCAGACATTTTAAAAATTTGTCCTGTTTAAAAAACGATATCCATTCAAAGCCCAATTGACTCTTACAATGAGGACTTGTAATTGTCATACTTGATATCTGAAGTGGTAACTATTTATTCACATTTTGGCCATTGTGAATATAAAAATTTGAAAACTACCAAAATGAGAAAAGCAGTTTAAATGAATTAGCGTATAATGATAATTCCTCATCTTAAAATTTTAGACAGAAATTCATTTAAATGGCTTTTATTTCTAATTTATTAATGAATTAAAATTTTCAGTAACCCTTCAGTTCCATTTTATCACTTGCAAATCTGTTATTTACTTGAGCAATACTCACCTGAAAAAATGCTGTTTAAGAATTATGAGCTGAGAAATTGTGTACCGAGAGATGGGATGGACTAATAGTTAAGTGTTGAAAATGGTATTAGCAGTCTGAGTTGAATTTCCAGCAGAGATAGCTCGTGTTAACATTATACTGATGCCCTTGGCAAAAGCATGGATCTTTCTGTCTCCTGTCCACCATTTATGGGTTAAATTGACTGGCATTCATAGCCTTGGTTGGCAACCAGACTAGGTGATGAAAAACATAGAATTTTAAATGGAAATTACTCCACTAGGAAATTACTCAACTATCTTTTCCAATTACAATATACAGTTTACAAATATTAAAGAAAAGGAAGATTTGGAGAGCCATAATCGCCTACACCTTAAAGTGGGATGTTACTTAAGAAGAAATATGTAAAATATTGTAATAACCAAAAGGAAGCTGTAGAGAGCCATGATTGCCTATACTCTGAAGTGGCATGATAAGAAGTATGCAAAGTATTGAAATAACCAGTTATTCTAAGGAGAAACTGCCATAGTTATGTTAATGTTGAAACCTAAAATATGTTAAAGGAGATTGTGGAGAGTCATGATCTCCTACATCCTGAAAGGACATGGGTTTTTTTTAATAAAGAGTATGTATATATTTTCAATGATGCTCTGTATTTCTATATTTATATACATAGGACTTATAATCTCCTGACATAAATGAGAATTATCCCCTTTGTAATTACCATTAGTGTCTTCCTCATATAAAATAAACAACTATGTGATTCTATAGAACAATGCTGACAATACCATGGACTGTACATGTGAGCAATTACAATGTTTTAGGGGAAATGGTAACAAAAAGGACACTTATACTAGACATTAGAAAGAGACAGTTGAAATATCTAAAGCATATAACGAGGAAAGGTAGCAAGGATGAAAGCTCATTGGATCAGATGCAGATCCAAATCCTTCTCTCCTCCTGTTGGAGGAACCTTACCTTGATTGACCATGTCTTCAAAGGTATATCTGTGAAAAATTGAAGTTATCAAGTTTATGCCAATGAATTAATAAAAATTAAGTTAATGCAGGTAAGAGGGAAGTTTTGGCTATTGTATATTTTACAAGAACATAATGTATTATCTGGCATTGTAATAAAGAAAAGTTAATGTAGGTAACAAGGAAGGTTTGGTTATTTCAGATTTTGCAAAAACATAAATGTATTATTGATATAAAATAATATTGCTGTTAGTAACCCTAATTTGGAAAAAATTTTAATAGTTTAATTTTCTGTTGACAGTTTAATTTTTTGATGTTCATTCTATTTTTTTGTACTGTTGACTAAAAAAAGTCACCTTTTTACTTGAGACCCCACCCTCTTCCAGTTACTGTAGTACAAAGAGATCACAATAAAAAAACTTCTGAGTTTTTTATCTGGTATGTTTCAGGTATTAGAGAACATATCTTTCACAGACTATAAATGAAATCATGTGCCAAATTTTCATATTCTTAATCATTTCTCTTTCAGACACATCAAGCAAATTAGTCTCTAAGAGTTCATTTTTATTAGTGTTTTATGATCTAATAACAATGAATTTATAACAGTAAATGTAAATTGGTTCACATTTTCATATCTTTTAATTAATGTCATTCATTGTTTTTACCAAAGACATTATCTCAAAGCAATCATGATAAATAACATCCTCTCTATATTTTTTTACTGTAACTACATAACTGGTTATTAGTTATGTTGGTGTACCAGTAATACAATGGAACTGAGTTGGTAGTTGATATAAATACAATTTTTTACATTTTTTATAGTTGTTCAGAAATTTTTACATTTTTTATATTTGTTCAGAATTTTTACATTTTTGGAGAGTTCAGAATTTCAAAAATTAATTTGCAAGATTGGTAAGCTTTCTTCAATTGAAAATTGGTATAATACAATTTTCCTATGCCAAATTTAAACATTTGAACTTTTGTGGGATTAAGCTAAGCGTAATAAATATTTATACCAATAACAGAATTCAATTTAAAATTTGAAAACATTCCAAAGAAACTGTTTTTACCTATATCTATCTTGTAATTTATTGTTACCCAATTTGTTTGTTTGTTATGCTGTCACTTCAGAATGTGGGTAATCATGGTGTTCCATAATTTCCTGGCTTTTGTAGCTCTTAATAACTTTTGTCTTTTTGTCATCTTTCCCAAATCTACACTTTTTTCACTCACTGTTTGACCTTCCTACCCCATCACATCCACAGACTTTGGAAGGTAAGGGGATGTAATCTGATAGAGAATCCTACTTAATAGACACAGACCTACCAAAAGAATGGAACTTTTTGACCAAATACAAAGATGCTCTCCACATAGGTTCAGGATTGCTGGTTTAATTTTATTTTATCACCCAATACAAATCAGAAATTCAGCTTTGGAAATTGTTGTGAATTTAAAATTTTATTGTTTTTTAATCATAATAGTAGTATTTTCAGTATGAATATTTTTTAAATAACATTATTATTTACAAATAAAAAATATATTATTTGTGTATATTTTTTTAGATGTCTAATAAATTTTATATATAAAATATTTTGAGGATATGAAGAATAAGATTTAATCCAAGGAATAAGCGGTAATGAAGACTGCATAAACAAAAATGAAGTTTTAATCTTTTAATAAATCCATATTTTCAATAAAATGAATTTTCAGTCTTTCTTTCTATCTCAGTCTGTTCATATCTATCTATCTATCTAAATGAATTCTTTCTATCTTCAGGATGTGTGTGATTATTTTTTTTTCCACAACTTCCTGTCTTTCATTGCTCTCAATCTTATATGCTCTGTTACCACTTCTGTTTGTCTCCTTGATATTTGTATTTGTATCATCACCTGTTTGCTCAAATTGGACAAGTAGATTACTTACTGCTTTTCTTTGACTATGAGTTTTAAATGCTCCAGTGCTTTCCTCATTATGTGCTCCTAAAAGTTTAACCGTCTCTTTCTGATTGTCAGCAGCAGTTTCCTCTGTAGTTCCTATTCTCTCCTGAAAACTTCCTCATTTGCTAAATGTTCTGTCCATGGTATTCTTAATATGCACCAGTAGGACTAAACCTTGGTAACTTCATGTCATTTTGCCATTTGTAATGAAATTGTCCAGTTTTCATTGCCATGTAGGAAAGAAAACATTGCCCATCAGTTGAACACTCATTTCTTCATTTCTAGTTTTATTTTTCAATCCGTTAATGCCTTACTAAGTTTCTGAAAATAAACTTTTGCTGTTACTATACACCTTACATCACTTTATAAAAACTTACTTGTAATGTAAACCACAGCAGCATGCTGAGTATTTTGTCCTTCACAGGGGCACCTACAGGGTTAACATGCAGTATACATGCACTTTCAAATTTCTGTAGTACTTTCCAGGCTCCATTATTACACAGCCTATTGTATTTCCATACTCACTTGTTTTTGACATCCCTGATGTGTAACTCACATTTTGAGATGGTTCTTTTGCTTGCAACTATGAATTCTGCCTGTGACATTTTTTGCAGCATATATTGTTACAGTTATTTCTGTTGATAATAAATCCCAGTAGGTTCTACTCTGAAAGTCATTTCACTGTACAGATTGAGTAAGAAAACATTTTTTTCACTCCATTTTCTATTCTTGATGATTGTAATGAAAGAAAAATCAGTTAAATAACAGGATATTAAGATTCCACTTTCGTGCAGTTAATCCTTTAACAAATATGAATCCATCATGAAAAAAATGAATAATTTCTTATCAGATATACATAAACACACACACACACTCTGTCTATTAGGGCAGCTAACTAATCCCTGTTGCAGACGCTTGATCAGGCACATTTGTGTTTGTCCAACATCCACAGAGCCTGTCTGTGGTTTATGCTGCAACTATGCTGAACAGACTTTTGTTACAGTTTCTGGGAAAGAGCTCATAATCTGGCATAATCAGAAGTTTGAACAACGCCATTTTGCTCAAATCCTCGGTTATGATGACATTTGACTTTGTGCAAGTACTAACATCGAGGGCTTTTGAATAGTTGCTGCTATTTGATTTCACTTGCAAGGCTTTGGTGTGGTTTTCAGGCACTTTTCCAAATGTGCTGCACACTTGGATTGCCTCCCCAGGCTGAAAACATTACAAACTCTTCTTCCTGACAAATTTACCTGGGTTTTATGATTCAAAAGTGAACATCCTAACCACTCAACCATGTTCCCATATATATATATATAGTTAAAGAAAAATGAAAATTTTTTGCTTAGGATTTTCTTCATGTTTTTTCTATATTTCAAACCATTTTCCTGATTTCCAGTGAAAGTTCAAATATGAAATTGTTCAATAAGCTTTCATAAGCCATTATCAAAGAGTTTTTTTGTGATATGTTGGTTTCATCATTTTTCAAATATTGCATCTTCATGGGTTGTATTGCTTTTTTGAAGAATCATGTCTTCACGCATCAGTTTGTTTGTGTTACCATGTTATTTCTTTTAATGAAATAGGATAAAAAATAAATAGGAAACATCTTTTATTAAACATTTCACTTTTATTAAAGCTTTATCAGAGAATGATATATAGAGAAAAAAGAAGAAATAAATTCTGGTATTTTTATTTTTGTGTTGTTTGATTTT